CGCCCGGGCAACGAAGGAGTGGCTTCGTAAGAAGCATTTCAAGGTCCTGGAGTGGCTTAGCCAGTCTCCAGATCTCAATCCCATAGAAAATCTTTGGAGGGAGTTGAAAGTCCGTTTTGCCCAGCGACAGCCCCAAAACATCACTGCTCTAGAGGAGATCTGCATGGAGGAATGGGCCAAAATACCAGCAACAGTGTGTGAAAACCTTGTGAAGACTTACAGAAAATGTTTGACCTGTGTCATTGCCAACAAAGGGTATATAACAAAGTATTGAGAAACTTTTGTTATTGACCAAATACTTATTTTCCACCATAATCTGCAAATAAATTCATAAAAAATCCTACAATGTATTTTTGGGATTTTTTTCTTTCTAATTTTGTATGTCATAGTTGATGTGTACCTATGATGAAGATTACAGGCCTCTCTCATCTTTTTAAGTGGGAGAACTTGCACAATTGGTGGCTGACTAAATACTTTTTTTCCCCCACTGTAGGTCTAAAAATGGCCACTTTCATCATGATTTTCAAAAAAAACTGTTTGTGATACAAATGTATAAAGCATTTCAAACATTATTTTCAATGAAGTTTCTATGTGAGAATTGCCAGAACAATCTGAGATACCAAAAATATTTTGTCCTATATTTCTATTGAAAGAGCTGCTGGTGTACATCTTTTGTATTACTAGGCTAAATTTAGCATTGAATGTGCTATTTATGTCATGCGCCCCAGATAAATAAGGAAGACCATCAATGTTTTATAAACACATTTGTTTGGAATGAAGTTGCAGAGCTCTGCTTGCACACGGTCATTAAAGATCTGTCAAACTGTGTGGAATTCAAAGGAGAACTTGAAATCTTCCAGACTCTTTGATGACGAAGGTATGACGTCTTCTACTGCAATCCCATCATAAAATCTACTTTTTCGCCTTCCTGTTTAGTCCTATGGAAAATATAATGACCCTGTCCGTGCAGCAGACACACCCATACATACAGGAAAATAACTTTCATTTACACATGCCCCCTCTGACATAATGCCACCACTTCAATCCCCTTCCATGCTGACTCCTGCATAGATATACAGTTGGGAGAACAAGTATTTGATACACTGCCGATTTTGCAGGTTTTCCTACTTACAAAGCATGTAGAGGTCTGTCATTTTTATCATAGGTACACTTCAACTGTGAGAGACGGAATCTAAAACAAAAATCCAGAAAATCACATTGTATGATTTTTAAGTAATTAATTTGCATTTTATTGCATGACATAAGTATTTGATCACCTACCAACCAGTAAGAATTCCGGCTCTCACAGACCTGTTAGTTTTTCTTTAAGAAGCCCTCCTGTTCTCCACTCATTACCTGTATTAACTGCACCTGTTTGAACTCGTTACCTGTATAAAAGACACCTGTCCACACACTCAATCAAACAGACTCCAACCTCTCCACAATGGGCCAAGACAAGAGAGCTGTGTAAGGACATCAGGGATAACATTGTAGACCTGCACAAGGCTGGGATGGGCTACAGGACAATAGGCAAGCAGCTTGGTGAGAAGGCAACAACTGTTGGTGCAATTATTAGAAAATGGAAGAAGTTCAAGATGACGGTCAATCACCCTCGGTCTGGGGCTCCATGCAAGATCTCACCTCGTGGGGCATCAATGATCATGAGGAAGGTGAGGGATCAGCCCAGAACTACACGGCAGGACCTGGTCAATGACCTGGAGAGAGCTGGGACCACAGTCTCAAAGAAAACCATTAGTAACACACTACGCCGCCATGGATTAAAATCCTGCAGCGCTCGCAAGGTCCCCCTGCTCAAGCCAGCACATGTCCAGGCCCGTCTGAAGTTTGCCGATGATCCAGAGGAGGAATGGGAGAAGGTCATGTTGTCTGATGAGACAAAAATAGAGCTTTTTGGTCTAAACTCCACTCGCCGTGTTTGGAGGAAGAAGAAGGATGAGTACAACCCCAAGAACACCATCCCAACCGTGAAGCATGGAGGTGGAAACATCATTCTTTGGGGATGCTTTTCTGCAAAGGGGACAGGACGACTGCACCGTATTGAGGGGAGGATGGATGGGGCCATGTATCGCGAGATCTTGGCCAACAACCCCCTTCCCTCAGTAAGAGCATTGAAGATGGGTCGTGGCTGGGTCTTCCAGCATGACAACGACCCGAAACACACAGCCAGGGCAACTAAGGAGTGGCTCCGTAAGAAGCATCTCAAGGTCCTGGAGTGGCCTAGCCAGTCTCCAGACCTGAACACAATAGAAAATCTTTGGAGGGAGCTGAAAGTCCGTATTGCCCAGCGACAGCCCCGAAACCTGAAGGATCTGGAGAAGGTCTGTATGGAGGAGTGGGCCAAAATCCCTGCTGCAGTGTGTGCAAACCTGGTCAAGACCTACAGGAAACGTATTATCTCTGTAATTGCAAAAAAAGGTTTCTGTACCAAATATTAAGTTCTGCTTTTCTGATGTATCAAATACTTATGTCATGCAATAAATGCAAATTACTTAAAAATCATACAATGTGATTTTCTGGATTTTTGTTTTAGATTCCGTCTCTCACAGTTGAAGTGTACCTATGATAAAAATTACAGACCTCTACATGCTTTGTAAGTAGGAAAACCTGCAAAATCGGCAGTGTATCAAATACTTGTTCTCCCCACTGTACATGCACACAAACTTATCAGATGGACGTTGGCCACATGCTAAACACACTAGCCTTCCAGTTAGACTTGCCTCTGAATACACTCAGCGGTCCACCTCCCAGGGTCCTCTGGAAGATGACCTTCCCCTTGTGCCGGAGGTCACGCTGAGGATGATGGGGCGCATTGAGCAGGAGCATCTCCTCTGAGAGGTCTCCTCCACCTCTATGGTCCGGAGCTGCCTGGAACCACCTCATGGATGGGATGGATACAGTACGTCTGCTCTCAGTGGGAGTTCTGTAGTCGTCTGATCCAGTCATCCAGAGGGGCAGCAGTTTTATCTGACTGGAACCCTGTGACTCCTCCCTAGTAGTCTATTGCCTGCAGGCCCCAAAGTGTTTTTGGGAGGGAGGGAGGGGTTCTTGGCTATCCTTGTAACTTGTGAAGGGATCGTGACTTATTATTTTGTTTAGCATGATTTCAACAGTTCAGGTTTGTGTCCTGCCTTCTCTCTCGTTGCACACATCTGTTAGTGGAGGAGTTGTGTCAGTGCTTCAACAGGTTAGACAATGTGGCCTGTTTAGACACACACCTGTTTACACGTCCCAGGGTTCCCCAGGTAGATGGAGAAACACTACCATTGCTACGTTACCAGCCTCTGAGGGGAAACCTGGCAAGAATTTCTTATCACACACACACGAGTATGCAACGTGACACTCCTGTCACAAAAACTTGCCTCATAAAGTTGCAGAACCCTCTATTTCCTACAACCTCCCTCTGCCTAAGAGATGCATCCTAGCTCCAGTGAACCTTCTCCCTGTCTTTTCTCGGTGTTCCTCCTACAGTGGGTATATACAGCATCTGGTTCTACGATAAGAGGGACTGCCAGCGCATCACTCAGCTCATGGTTAAGTGAGTATGGCCCGGTGAAACACACCGCCACTAACCCACACATATAAAAAGCATCATCACCCACACACCACTGGGGGGAGCTATTTTGCACTTTACAGATATGAGATTGGATTGTGTATTTGAGTTTTCCACTGTTTGTATCTTTATTGTGTGTGTCTCTGTCCTCCAGGATCGTGAAGCAGGAAGCCATGCAGGCCCACCGGGGCTCCCCAGAGAGGGCCAACGTCCCTGGGAGGACCAATGGCTGCGCAGAACCTCGCCCCATCGACATCCTGGAGCTCCTCAGCAAGGCCAAGGATGAATACCACAGGGTAAGAGACAGGTCAAGTCATCGCCCAGGACTCTGTGGCGACACACCAGTGTTGGGGGTAATGCGTTCCAAAAGTATTGCGTTACATAATCCGATTTACTTTTATGAGTAATGGAGTAAAGTAACGTGTTACTTTTTCAAATTGGGTAGGATTATTACAGTTAATCTGTCAAACAACGCGTGACCAGAACTGGCGGCTCGAGAGCGATTTTTGAATGAAAAGATAGGAAATCTGTACAGATGTTTGGCTTACAGTATATACGGCTAATTAAGCAGCCCATATGATAGCGCATCACTTGTAGACTAGTGCAGGAAAGCAGCGCCACCAATGAAAGGAGAAAGTGATCAAACCTGAGTTAGAAAGTAGCCTATCTTTGGCTCACCTTGCTCCCTCTGACAGTCAAGCTAACAGGGAGATTGAGATTTTTTTCATAAAAGTAACACAAAGTAATTTAACTTCTTACTTTCCACACAAAGTAATATTGTAAAGTAACGCGTTACTTTTGTTAAATGTAACAAGTAATATAGAACTTTTTCAAGTAACTAATCCCAACACTTCCACAAACACACGTGACCACAGTCCAGAAAATAGTATAGTTTGACGGACTTTACCCCTCTCTCTTCTCACACACATCAGGAATTAGAGTGCGATTAAAATTCCTGATTATTGTGTGCACCCAGCTGTAGATGGCGTAGCAATGTCCCCCTTCTGTTTCTCTATCTCTCGTAGTCAGTTAAGAACTCACTCACTGGCTGTCTGTTTATTTACTCTTTATTGGTATCACTGTCTTTCCTTAGATCTTAGTCCTGCTGCCCCAAGTGTTTTTCATTGTTTTAAATGCTGAGATTGCTCACAGCCCTCCCAATTTACATTAGTCCAGCGTTTCCCAAACTCGGTCCTCTGGACCCCAAGGGTGCACGTTTTGGTTTTTGCCCTAGCACTACACAACTGATTCAAATAATCAAAGTTTGATGATTAGTTGGTTATTTGAATCAGTTATGTAGTGCTAGGGCAAAAAACAAAACGTGGGTCCCGAGGACTGCGTTTGGGAAATTAGACTGAAAGCACTAGTTGGAATGTCAAAATGATACATGTGTCTGTGTGTTAACTAGACTCAGACGGGTGAAACGGAGATGTCCGTTACTGCTGAGCAGGGGGTGAACACAGAGACGCTGAAAACAGCTGGCGGTGCTACAGAGCATGCTCCCAGCGCCCCACAGCCAGAAAGGGTACAGTACCACATTCTGCCTGAAATGACTGCACTTTGTCGGACAACATGCTACCTGTAACAAGTGTTCTCTCGCATGACTGAAATGACTTTTACTTTTCAGTCATAATTGAATGGTTCCCTGGATAAGTATGTTTCATATTGACTGTTATAACTGTATTTGCAGAACTCCCACTCTGGCCAGAGGCAGATCACTGTGGAGGAGCTGTTTGGCAGTTCTCTACCCAAGGAGACCGGCCTGCTGCCAGCCATGCCTACCCAGAATTCCACAGACCCTGCTGCCCCGAGCCCCGCCAACTTTCTCCAGGCCCAGCACTACACCCCCTCCATACCCTTCCAGCCCTTACTGGCCCCCCGCCTCACAGCAGCCCCAGGGGGCAACAACCGGCACCTGGCCCCTGGTCTGATCCCCCTGATGGAGGCCAGAGGTGGCGCCGGCCCAAGCTACACCCTCCACCCCAGCCCTGTGTTTCCCGGTGGACCTCCAGGGGAACCCCAGCACTCTGTGTCCCCGCTGTTGGTGGCTCCATCTGGGGCTGAGGCTCGCGGTCCCCCCCCTGTCCCTCCATTGGCCTACCTGGGGCAGGATCTCCTGGGCTCACTGAAATCCAGCCCCTCTGACCTCCACAAACCTGCCCTCGCACCCAACTTCCTGCCCAGCCCGCTGGCCACGCCCCAGAGCTTCAGAGAGCAAATCCCCAATCCTGCTGCCATCTGTAGCATTCCCACAGGCCCTGTGCAGGTAGCCAACTGCCTTTGCCCCTGTTTGTGAGATGCAGACTTTGTGTAATCTCTCATTTCTTAAGGGCTCCCTTTCTTGTCTTTCTCAGCCACAGAGTAAAGAAATGGATGTGTTCGCTCAGTCTCAGAAACTGTTGAAAACCATGCCAGTAAGTATAATTTTGCTATCGTGATGTAGATGGCTTTGATTGTACAGGCATTTCTTTACATAGTTGAAATGAAATCTTACCATGTCCTCTTCTTTCCCTCTCTCTTTCTCTCGCCCATCCAAGGCTGTTCCTATGAAGGCAGGGCTTGTGATACCGAGGGCGGGTACTTCACTTACAGCGGCGGAGCACTCCGTGCTGCTCTCACCGAGCGCCTTTCAGCATTCTGTTGCCAAGACAACGGAACTGCAGAGGCAAGCTGCCCCTCCCTCCCCTCCACCTGGAGCCACAGGGGCCGTGGAGCCCCCCCAACCCTCCTGCAGTAGGACCCAGCTGCAGGACACACTCATCCACCTCATCAAGGTACAGAGAGAGCTGAAGCCTTTTTCTTGTGTGTGAAGCCTTGTGTTTGATGCCTTTCGTCAGGTTCAGGGTTTTTCTACTGAAGATTTCAACTTGCGGTTGTTGACATTTATGAAATTCTCATGAACAGCTTATGAATGTGTTGTGCATGGGTTATGAATTGTGTTATGAAGTCCTTCTGTACCCAAATCTAATACTTGAGAGAGAGAGATCTGCAATGAACTGAAGCAGTTGAAGTCTGGGAACTTGTTTGCTACTGTTATACAAAATGTCTGGAAGATAAGTCCTCTCTCTCTCCTGTGTTTGTGCCCTGTGCAGAATGACCCAGCGTTTCTCAGTGCCATCCACGAGGCTTACCTCCAGATTCTCTCCAAAGACCTGAGCAACGTCAAGCTATAGCCTCAGTCCAGACCTGGGGCTGGGCCTGGACATGTCAGGACAGGGGCACCAGCCAACCTAAACTACAGGTACTGAACCACTGGGTGGGAGCTGGGACTGCTTCTGCTGCCACGGGCTATGTACAGACACTGGCTCTGTTCCTCTGGAGCAGCTATGGGACTGCAGGAGGAGGACTGGAACCCAGGAGGCTCACTCATATGGCTCTGCTACCCTGTGTAGAGGAGAAGATTAAAGGGAGGTGTTACGCTTGACAGTACTGTCAAATCATGGACCCACTCTAGAAGGAAGTATTGTTCCTCTCTTCTGTGGATGAGAACTAGACCAAACCCCTAGGGAGGGTAAACCCTAAACCCTCATCTCTGTTGGGGTCAGGGGTTAGGGCTTGCTGTGCAAGCCAAGCTTCATTCAACTCCACTTCCTTGTTCTGCCTCGGTATAGCTGGGATTCTCCACACACATGCGCTCTGTTCTCCCCCCTCTCTCCTCTTTCTTAATCTCTCATGTTCCTTCTTTTTCTCTCTCTTTTTTCTGTCCTTCGCTCACCCCATTCACCACCGCCAGCCTCTGTCACTATGCCTGTTAAGGGACGTGTGCAATAGAATGCAATGCCTTCTGGGAGATTACTAATTTTTTTTTATAGAACCTGGCTTCTCCTGTGGAAGTGATTCTTAAGTGTTTTTTTCCCAAGGGTTAAAACAGAGAATTGTTGTATTAATTTAGGCCCTATTCTGTGGGTTTTGCAGTAAAGGCTACTGCAGCACTCAACATGAGCTAACTGCATTCAACAGGGTCATCTTGTTTAACACACAGTTAGTTTTCACTCCGCAGCCAACAGCTCAAAGGGACTAGCATGTCATGACAGCTCAGTGTGGATGTATTTGATCTTGTAGGTCAGGCAGTTTGAATGTGATTGATAATGTCTCCCCTGTACACATATCTGACCTTGTGCCATACTGCCAATCTGTGTTCACATTCTTTTATTATTTGATCACGCACAGTATGTATTTCAGTTTGGCTGCAATCAATCACACATTTGATTCCGATTGACAGAATTAACGAATGGTGGCGTTAAGCTATAGACATGGGAAGCAATTGAGAACATACTCTAAACAAATAACTGATCAACACATTATGTTGTCTAAGGAATATTTGTTTTTGACCTTGTCTCTTGATTTATTTCAGCCATTAAGTATATGTAAGTTTCTTTGGGAGGTAAGAAGAGAACCTCTTACTTGATGCACTTTGTTTTCACGTCAACAAATGTCAGTAAAAAGCATTTCATGAGCAATTTGTGACTCCTTTGGTTCCTCAATACGTTTTTTTATATAACATAGTAATACATGTTGATTGATAGGTGTGTTTTCAGACAGGATATCAAAGTGTACTTCCCTGTGTACATATTATTTAGTCACAGGCTCAATACTGGTGGAGAAAAGAGGTGAGGCCCAGAGATAAAAATACTTTTTAAAAACAGTATGATTTTTAAGATTATTACACTGCGTTAAAGTATGCTTCTTATTGATCAGTGCCAGTTTAATGATGAGTTAACTTGTTGTTTGGAGTGTTAAGAGCATCATTCATTTTTAATTAGTTGTATTCTATGTCACTGTGTACTTTTGTTTATTATTACTATTTTGTGATATTAAAGTGAAGTTTTCTCTCAAGCTATTTACATTTCTTGCTGAAAGGAATTACTTTTCTTGGTCGACAAAATATAAATTATTCTCTGTTTTGACCATTGCAGTCATTACATCCAGCAATGTCAAAAACAGTGAGGCAAATGCTGAAACCAGTGGTGCATCTCAGTAGTCCAATGTAGTTTCCTCTCCTAGTTTCCTGTCCTTCGTCTGCTCTAATCTGACCAGAGTTTTTCACATCAGTGCAGATGAAGGAAAGGAGACAAAGAAAGTAGTCTGTTTTGGATGCTTGAGATGCAGCACAAGAAATATCATAGATGATTCATATCTGGATAAAGCCACTAGAGGGCAACCGGGTTACGGTTTTTGACAGAAAATTCCATTTCCAATGCAATGACCTGTCCCAGTCGCCAGTGTTCTTTACTGCACTACACACAGTATGCCCCATTAATCCATAGCCTTTGTTTTATACTCTATAGTAGTGGCAATCTTTTATTTTGTATTTTACCCCCCTTTATCTCCCCAATTTCGATATTTTCTCATCGCTGCAACTCCCCATCGGACTCTAGAGGCAAAGGTCGAGTCATGCGTACTCTGAAACATGGCCCACCAAACCGCGCTTCTTAACACCCGCCCGTTTAACCCGGAAGCCAGCCGCACCAATGTGTCGGAGGAAACACCGCTCAACTGACGGCCGAAGTCACCCTGCAGGCGCCCGGCCCGCCACAAGGAGTCGCTAGAGCGCGATGAGCCAAGTAAAGCACCCCCGGCCAAACCCTCTGCTAACCCGGACAGTGCTGGGCCATAGACCGCTGCACCACTCGGGAGGGCCAGTGGCCATCTTTTCAATCAACTCATGGTGCCACTTTTGTGAGTGAGTCAGGTCAACACTGTGGGAACATAGATTATCATTAGCCTAGGTTAGTACAGTGTAATTTGTGAACCCTCCCCATCCATCCTCAACAGTTTCAGCAACGCGGTTCTTTAATTCTTTAACTACAATTCCAGTAGTAGGCAATATGTACTGTAGTAGGTTAACTATTGCAGTGGTTCCCAAACTGTGGGTTGTGCCCCCTAAACGTACTCTTGAAAGTTGTAATAGTAGAATGCACAAGGTGCAATTTCGAAATTGGGTAGTGCATCATCAGTTCCTCTAGTCATGTTAGTCATTACATACCTTGTTCCCCAATGCTGGAAGGGGGGCCGAGTGAAAAGGTTTGGGAACCCCTGTACTAATGTACCAATGGAGACCAAATAGCTGTCTTATAGCTAACTACCTACAGTATATGGCATTGCAATCCTGCACTTTTCCCTGGTCTTTGACAGAAGTAGCAAAGATTAGCCTACGAAAGGTCATTATGCCGCTGCCAGCCCTGTTGTGTGGCCCTGCAGTACGAGCGACTGTGTATGACGCCGAGTGAGGACGGGGGCGTGACAGTAAGTCCATTGCACTTGCCCTTGGCAACTCCGCCTCCACCATTTCGCCCATGTGTGACGGTTTGGGACTTAAGCTACTTTGTGCACTGCCACGCAAACGCACTCTGCGATCGTTGAGCCCGTGTGCTGTCTATCTCACCCTTTAGCTCTAGATTAGCCATATTCATAGGTTTACCAACGCCCCCTCACTCTGTCATTCTCTCTGACTCTATCCCCGGCACAGGTTCAAGGCTATCTTTACCCTGACGTTGTTCGTGTTTTTATCCCGGACAGTATTTTACTTAGTTAAAATTTATTTTTGACAGAAGTGCGCACAGATGGAGGACTATCACAAACCCGACCAGCAGACCCTGCAGGCGCTTAGGAACATCGCCAACCGGCTCAGGATCAATTCTATCAAGGCTACAACTGCCGCAGGCAGTGGGTAAGCACCATGCTTTAAAGAATGCTTCAAAATAAAAAGAAATGTGCGATATGAGGTGTCCATGCAGACTATGTGATAGGTTTACATGCGTAATGTCCATGGCTCGGACATTGTGTGCGTGTATTACGCATCGCTCCAGAAAAGGCTACTGTTCTTAATTTTACCCTTACAATGCCATCCATTTGGCATTAATATTTGACATGAATAAAATGTGGGTTTTAAACCATGCTATTACATATAGATGTAGATAAAATATGCAGCAATTTTGTTGTCTTATTATGTTGTAATAGACTACTCGTTGCAGGTGCATTGATACATTATTTTCGATTGTGCAGTAACGTAACGGTATGCCTTTTTATCTTTGAATGCATATTTTTTCTGGTTATGTAAGATGAGAGCGAAAACTCATTCAATCTGATTCAATAATGAATGGGTCGTTACACGTGGTGGCGACGTGGGGTTCGTCCGCTGCAACCAAAGGGACCGCGTTAGTGCCTTCCTCTTCGCAGAGCGAAACGATTGTTGACGGGCTGATTGATGCTTGTCGGGCCGCCGGGACCTGGACAATCACCGACCAATGCCCTCCCTTTCTATAATTATTTATTCAGGCTTGTCCTTGGTATATATTTTTTCGGCACACGATATTGGGGAAAGAGAAATGACAGATAGGAGTAAATGTTGTTAGAACAAATGTAGTTTATATTTTGAGACATTAATTCATTCGATTTTCTTATTTCCTTAGGCCTATTTATTACAGTATAGTAAACAGCTCACATAAAATATGCTATTAGAGCCATAATAACCAGGGACAACAACCCTTTAATAAATGTTTCTACATTTATTTATCTGTTTATTGATGATTTAATTCAATAAATATTTCATTTATTCATTGTCTGTTTTGACCACCTTTCTGTTTCAGGTTGAATTAAAAAAATATATATATATAAACAAATTCTGGTGGGTACCTGGCACCTGTGCTATGGTGAAGTATTACAAATGGGCATGCACTGTTTGGAATCTCAATATGTTATAGATGCTTTCAAAAAAACCTTGTTATATTGATGTCTTTTGCATTTTGCTTCAAGCATGGAGTTTTGGCAATAAACAAAATAAGTGCTTTTGTGGTCTGCTGTAATAAAACTGTCTAAAGTGTTGGGTAACTGTCTAACCCTGACTGAATGTATTGAAGAGGGTCTGCCCTATGTAACAGGCAAATAGAGGATTGATTGTTGGGAATTACAGTGAGGGAAAAACGTTTTTGATCCCCTGCTGATTTTGTACGTTTGCCCACTGACAAAGAAATGATCAGTCTATAATTTTAATGGTAGGTTTACTGAACAGTGAGAGACAGAATAACAACAACAAAATCCAGAAAAACGCATGTCAAAAATGTTATAAATTGATTTGGATTTTAATGAGGGAAATAAGTATTTGACCCCCTCTCAATCAGAAAGATTTCTGGCTCCCAGGTGTCTTTTATACAGGTAACGAGCTGAGATTAGGAGCACACTCTTAAAGGGAGTGCTCCTAATCTCAGCTTGTTACCTGTATAAAAGACACCTGTCCACAGAAGCAATCAATCAATCAGATTCCAAACTCTCCACCATGGCCAAGACCAAAGAGCTCTCCAAGGATGTCAGGGACAAGATTGTAGACCTACACAAGGCTGGAATGGTCTACAAGACCATCGCCAAGCAGCTTGGTGAGAAGGTGACAACAGTTGGTGCGATTATCCGCAAATGGAAGAAACACAAAATAACTGTCAATCTCCCTCGGCCTGGGGCTCCATGCAAGATCCCACCTCGTGTGTTTGCAATGATCCTGAAAACGGTGAGGAATCAGCCCAGAACTACACAGGAGGATCTTGTCAATGATCTCAAGGCAGCTGGAACCATAGTCACCAAGAAAACTATTGGTTACACACTACGCTGTGAAGGACTGAAATCCTGCAGCGCCCGCAAGGTCCCCCTGCTCAAGAAAGCACATATACAGGCCCGTCTGAAGTTTGCCAGTGAACATCTGAATGATTCAGAGGAGAACTGGGTGAAAGTGTTGTGGTCAGATGAGACCAGAATTGAGCTCTTTGGCATCAACTCAACTCGCCGTGTTTGGAGGAGGAGGAATGCTGCCTATGACCCCAAGAACACCATCCCCACCATCAAACATGGAGGTGGAAACATTATGCTTTGGGGGTGTTTTTCTGCTAAGGAGACAGGACAACTTCACCGCATCAAAGGGACGATGGACGGGGCCATGAACCGTCAAATCTTGGGTGAGAACCTCCTTCCCTCAGCCAGGGCATTGCAAATGGGTCGTGGATGGGTATTCCAGCATGACAATGACCCAAAACACACGGCCAAGGCAACAAAGGAGTGGCTCAAGAAGAAGCACATTAAGGTTCTGGAGTGGCCTAGCCAGTCTCCAGACCTTAATCCCATAGAAAATCTGTGGATGGAGCTGAAGGTTCGAGTTGCCAAACGTCAGCCTCGAAACCTTAATGACTTGGAGAAGATCTGCAAAGAGGAGTGGGACAAAATCCCTCCTGAGATGTGTGCAAACCTGGTGGCCAACTACAAGAAACGTTTGACCTCTGTGATTGCCAACAAGTACTAAGTCATGTTTTTTGAGGGGTCAAATACTTATTTCCCTAATTAAAATGCAAATAAATGTATAACATTTTTGACATGCATTTTTCTGGATGTTTTAGTTGTTATTCTGTCTCTCACTGTTCAAATAAACCTACCATTAAAATTATAGACTGATCATGTCTTTGTCAGTGGGCAAATGTACAAAATCAGCAGGGGATCAAATACTTTTTTCCCTCACTGTAGTGTTAATGCTTTATTACAGTTGGTACACAGACTAATGTAGGCTTACCCCAGCACTCAATGAAGAATGAATATCAGAGTTGAAGTCTGGGTGATCAAGTAGAGCTGAAGATGCCTTTGTTTCCTTTGATGCTCCAACAGTGTGTGCGTCTTGTGTGAAGTCTTGGCTCTGACTGTCAATGTGTCTGCATGTGTGTCTACTGGAAATATGGGAGGACCATGTAATAGTCTATACTGATTGTAGGTCATTTAGTGTGTGTGTGACACTTTCCAGCTATACACTTCAGTGTGATCTGAGCACGTGGAGGTGTGTGTTTATTTGTGCATGTGTCAGTCAGAGCCCTGCTCTGACCCCTTGTCCTGTCCTCTCTGGCCTCCAGACACCCCACATCATGCTGCAGTGTGGCAGAGATCATGTCTGTGCTCTTCTTCAACACCATGAAGTACCGCCCTGAGGAACCCCGGAACATCAACAGCGACCGCTTCGTCCTCTCCAAGGTACCACTCTCACCCCGTCTAGACATCCCTAACCACTAAACCTCCCTCCAGGGGAATACAGGCATCCCAGGCCCAGATAGTGGTAAAACGTTTATATGCACAGTGTGAAGGCTTCCAAAGGTGCACTTTCCCTTATTCATTTGAAGTGATTTAACCTTAATGGCTCTGTGCTCAACCTGTTTAAATTCTATGTTATTGAGTTTGTGATAAAGTATGTGTGAGTGTGCCGTCTGCCAAATCCATTCTAAAGCAGTGCCTACATGTTCACCTCTAAGGTAAGGCCTACTGTAGTAGCTAAGCTCCTCCCCTTCCTTAATGACCTCATCAGCCTCATTGGACAGATGTGGGACACGTCTTTCAGTGCCCACCTGGGCATCAGACTCAGTTCAATCAAGTTTGTCAGAGTAGATTGTCAGAGTGGTTAGAGCCCTTAGCCAGCACCAGGGCTCTGTATCAAACTAATTTCATTTCCAAGAAACGACCTGATGAATTGATGGAAAGCTGTATATTCATAGGATTTTAACCAGTCAGATTGCATTGGCCAGTCTGTGCTGGGAAGAGCCAGCCATATGATTAGAGTTTTTAAAGGCCCAATTTGTAGAGTAAGCATGTAACCTGGTGCAGGGACCTGGGACCTTTAGGAGACAGACTGGGAGGCGGGAATGTAATCCTATTGGGACTACTGGAATATCATTCATTTGGAGGTGTGGAAGGAAGAACGTTTGGGATGAGTTTCTCAATCCCAGAAGTGAAAGTGGTCCAGGCACAGAGTGTGATACTGTATGTGAGAGTCTAACATAGGGAATAACAGCTATACAAGGTGGTTGCAGTGAATGGTTGAAGTTTGTTTACAATAGCTAGGGTCCATTGTGTATGTTCTGTCTGCATAACTTGTATCTGTGTGACTGTTCTCTCTCTCTCTCTAACTCTCTCTAACTCTGTCGCTCCCTCTCTTTATCTCTCTCTAACTCTGTCTCTCTCTCCCTCTCTCTCTCTCTCTCTCTCTCTCTCTCTCTCTCTCTCTCTCTCTCTAACTCTCTCTCTCTAACTCTGTCTCTCTCTCTCTCTCTCTCTCTCTCTCTAACTCTGTCTCTCTCTCTTTCTCTAACTCTGTCCCCCTCTCTCTCTCTCTCTCTCTCTCTCTCTAACTCTGTCCCGCTCTCTCTCTCTCCTCCAGGGTCATGCAGCCCCGGTGCTTTACGCGGTGTGGGCCGAGACAGGCTACCTGAAGGAGAGCGAACTGCTCAACCTCCGTAAGGTCGACTCCATCCTGGAGGGACATCCTGTGCCGGTGAGAACAGGATCAGGAAGTGACCTATCAATCCACATGACACAACCTTGTTTGGCCCACAAATAATCTCTTCACTCCACTAACCCAGCGAGAGTCAGCCTTTCAAAAGCCTGGCTTATCTTTAGCCCTTTCTTCTTCAGACCCATTCACCCATGACTGTTTGTTACCTGTGGTCTCTTCTGAACTACAACTAACATGGTCAAATGTATCCTCCAAAGCCATACTTGTCTCTTTTTCAGAGCACTGGTATTCCCTTGTTGAAGAGAGGAAGTCTGAGCACACAACATACACTATATACTGTAGTGTAGAGTGTATGTCACAAAGCTGTGCTTGTGTGACAGAGACAGGCTGTCCAAGGCCCCTTTTGTGTGCACGCAGAGTAACTTCCTAGTAATGCCATGCTCTGTTCACACACACTGATTCCCTCAATGGATTCAGTGTCTCTTCATATAATGCTTACACATTGATTTACCCTGTTGAGCTGTTAATATGACCACTGAATGAATGTGTATATTTAAGGAAGTGTGTTTGAGAGGAAGTGTGTGTTTTGTGGACAGTATGTGATTTTGATGGTAATGAGACTGAATGTGGGTGTGTTTTGGCTGAGCAGGTAGTCTTTGTGTGGGATTAGTTGATGTCTGCGCAATTTAACAGTATAATTGATGTAATGTTTGATGACTTTGATGAATGTGTGTTTGTTGGTGTAATGCAGGTTTATTATGTGCTGTGATGTGTTTGTGTAATGTCTAACATTTGTGTGTGTAAACAGAAACAGCAGTTTGTGGATGTGGCCACCGGCTCTCTTGGACAGGGTCTGGGGGCTGCCTGCGGGATGGCCTACACTGGGAAATACTTTGACAAGGCCAGGTGAGACCATACTCCCACATACACACCTCTGTACATAATATGGACTTTCGCATAGAACTCAGTGAGATGCTCGACACCCCTCTAAGGTCATGCTTTAGTTGCGTGGTCATACGTTGTCTGGCTATACAAGAACACACAGAGATAGACCAACACACAAATAATCAGATACATAGCATAGACAAAGGGAAGTAAGCACAAGGAAATATATGCAATTAAATACATCAGATACACCTACTATGAACATATACTGTGATACTCTCCCACACATAGGCATAGAGTGGCCCATTCATAGACAAAGGCATGCATGGACACAATACACACACCTATACTCATGGTGCACACTCTCTGCAAACAATAACTCAACCTGACATCTGACATTTCAGCTCCCCTAAGGAGAGTAGATGCAAGCTGACAGCCATAGCTGGTCTTGTATGTAGGGGCGTGGAGAGAGGCTGGCCGTTTCACTACTGAACATGGTTTGGAAGCCAGCTTCTTTATTATGCACGACGAGTTCTAGAATGGCCATGTGAACACTGGCAGACAATGGAGCCTGGAATGCTGTCTATGGCAATCTGCATATGACAAAGCAGATTCCCCTTCATATCTGAATACATAGACAAAGCTATAACAGTAGAGGATAGCTGTGCTGTACTTTGGGGTTAGGGATAGACTTTGAAAAACGTTTTAATATTTTTTTGTTTTGTTGCTATTCTCTGGTTTCATTTTCGGACCGCATAACAAAGCAGTCTGCCGTAGAATGTATACGTGTGATGGGTTGGCTGCGCCTTCTCTGCATTTTGTGTTCAGTCAATTCTTCTGCTCTAATAATCAGGGCTGCGAGAGAGCCACTCTCTTTTGCTCTTCTCACTCCCTTATCTCTCTCACTACTAACCCTTGCTTTGTTTGTTATTTTTCATATTATGTCTATCTCTGATAAGCTACTCAGGAAAGGGCAAAAAATGGTCCATATTAATATATGTAGCCTTAGAAATAAGGTTCATGAAATCAATAACCTTCTAACATCAGATAACATTAATATATTAGCCATTTCTGAGACTCACTTAGATAATTCCTTTGATACAGCAGTAGCAAAACAAGGATATAACATCTACAGAAGAGACAGGAATGCCTATCTAGATAATGTGTGTGAAATGCTTGATAGTGTATGTGATGTAAACAGAGAAGTCTACTTTCTTGGGGACCTGCATATTGTCTGGTTTTCATCAAGCTGTCTGCTCAAGAGGAAGGTTCTCACTGTAACCAGTGCCTGTAATCTGGTTCAGGTTAATGATCAACCTACCAGGGTATTTACAAACACTACAGGAACTATCAACATGAACTATCAACTATATCATGTATTGATCACATTTTTACTAATACTGTAGAACTTTGTTCTAAAGATGTATCCGTACCCATTGGATGCAGTGATCACAATATAGTGGCTATATCCAGGAAAGCCAAGGTTCCAAAAGCTGGGCATAAAATAGTGGATAAGAGATCATAGAGAAGATCTTACTGTGACTCTTATGTGGATGATGTAAACAATATTTGTTGTTGTGATTAATAAGGAGCATCTAGACACTGCACTTGATGATGAGAAGGGGCAAAAGGAGTAGCTAGAAAGTCTGGCTGCACATCTGACTGGCTGACTTACTGCAAATTGAGACATGATGTGACTAAACTAAACAAAAAGAAGAAACTGTATTTTGAAGCCAAGATCAATGATTTAAAGAATGATGGGGAAAAAACTTTAAATTAAATGATGGTCTGAAAAACAAATTCAACTCAATTTTTCATCAAATCAGATGGCTTATTCATCACAAAGCCATTTCATGGTGCCAATTATTTGAATGATTACTTAATTGGCAAAGTGGACAAACTTAGGCAGGAAATGTCAACAACAAACAGTGAGCCATTATATTTGTGCATTAAAAAAACGAATAATGAAAAAAGAATTGTAATTTTGAATTTTGTAAAGTTAGTGTGGGAGAGGTGGAAACATTATTGTTATCGATCAATAATGACAAACCTCCTGGCATTGACAACTTAAATGGAAAGCTACTGAGGATGGTAGCTGACCATATAGCCACTCCTATATGTCATATCTTTAATCTGAGCCTAGAGGAAAGGGTTTGTCCTCAGGCCTGGAGGGAAGCCAAAGTCATTCCGCTACCCAAGAATGGTAAAGCGGCCTTTACTGTTTCTAACAGCAGACCTATCAGCTTGCTGCCAGCTCTTAGCAAAACTGTTGCTGTAAACAAATTAATAACAGACTTTCAGCATGCTTATAGAGAAGGGCAGACAACATGTACTGCACTGACACAAATGACTGATGATCGGTTGAAATAAATGTATAATAAGATTGTGGGAGGTTGTGGGAGCTGTACTGTTAGATTTCAGTAACGCCTTTGATATTATTGACCATAACCTGTTGTTGAAAAAACTCTCCCAAATCTGTTGTTGAAAAACCTCTCCCATATGTGGATTCAGAGCTATCTAGCTAATAGAACACAGAGTTTTCTTTAATGGAAGCTTCTCTGATGTTAAACATGTAATGTGTGGTGTATTGTAGGGCAGCTCTCTTGGCCCTCTACTCTTTTCTATTTTTACCAATGACCTGCCACTGGCATTAAACAAAGCCTGTGTGTCTGTGTATGCTAATGATTCAACCCTATATATAACTGCCTTAATGTTGCAGGACCCCAGGAAGAGTAGCTGCAAATACTTATTTTGCACCAAAATTTGCAAATAAATCCATTAAAAATCCTACAATGTGATTTTCTGGATATTTTTTTCTCATTTTGTCTGTCATAGTTGACGTGTACCTATGATGAAAATTACAGGCCTCTCTCATCTTTTTAAGTGGGAGAACGTGCACAATTGGTGGCTGACTAAATACTTTTTTCCCCCACTGTATATATGCGTCAGCAACCACAGCTATTGAAATCACTACAACCCTAAACAAAGAATTGCAGTCAGTTTTAGAATGGGTGACCAGTAATAAACTGGTCCAGAACATCTCTAAAACTAAGTGCATTGTATTTGGTACAAATCATTCCCTAAGTTCTAGACCTCAGCTGAATCTGGTAATGAATGGTGTGGCTGTTGAGAAAATTGAGGAGACTAAATTACTTGGTGTTACCTTAGATTGTAAACTGTCATGTTCAAAACATATTAATTCAATGGTTGTAAAGATTGGGAGAGATCTGTCCATGATGCTCTGCTTTTTTGACACCACACTCTACAAAGCAAGTCCTGCAGGCTCTAGTTTGATCTTATCTTGATTATTGTCCATTCATCTGGTTAAGTGCTGCAAAGAAGGACCTAGTTAAGCTGCAGCTGGCCCAGAACAGAGCTGCACATTTTGCTCTTCATTGTAATCAGAGGGCTAATATCAATACTATGCATGCCAGCTCTTGGCTAAGACTTAAGGAAAGACTGACTGCATCGCTTCAATGTGTTGGAAATTGCAAGTTGTCAACTTACACACAGCACTTACCCCACCAGACATGACACCAGGGGTCTTTTCACAGTCCCCAGGTCCACAACAAATTCAAGGAAACATACAGTATTATACAGAGCCATGATTGCATGGAACTCCCTTCTATCTCATATAGTGCAAGTGAACAGCAAACCTGGTTTCAAAAAACAAATAAAGCAACACCTCACGGCACAACGCCTCTCCCCCATGTGACCTACTTGTTGTGTATATGTACTGACATGTATGTGTAACTGATAGATGCAAACACACACACACTACATGGTAATGTACAGTGGGGAAAAAAAGGTATTTAGTCAGCCACCAATTGTGCAAGTTCTCCCACTTAAAAAGACGAGAGAGGCCTGTAATTTTCATCATAGGTACACGTCAACTATGACAGACAAAATGAGAAAAATAAATCCAGAAAATCACATTGAAGGATTTTTAATGAATTTATTTGCAAATTATGGTGGAAAATAAGTATTTGGTCAATAACAAAAGTTTCTCAATACTTTGTTATATACCCTTTGTTGGCAATGACACAGGTCAAACGTTTTCTGTAAGTCTTCACAAGGTTTTCACACACTGTTGCTGTTATTTTGGCCCATTCCTCCATGCAGATCTCCTCCAGAGCAGTGATGTTTTGGGGCTGTCGCTGGGCAACACAGACTTTCAACTCCCTCCAAAGATTTTCTATGGGGTTGAGATCTGGAGACTGGCTAGGCCACTCCAGGACCTTGAAATGCTTCTTACGAAGCCACTCCTTCGTTACCCAGGCGGTGTGTTTGGGATCATTGTCATGCTGAAAGACCCAGCCACGTTTCATCTTCAATGCCCTTGTTGATGGAAGGAGGTTTTCACTCAAAATCACACGATACATGGCCCCATTCATTCTTTCCTTTACACGGATCAGTCGTCCTGGTCCCTTTGCAGAAAACAGCCCCAAAGCATGATGTTTCCACCCCCATGCTTCACAGTAGGTATGGTGTTCTTTGGATGCAACTCAGCATTCTTTGTCCTCCAAACACGACGAGTTGAGTTTTTACCAAAAAGTGATATTTTGGTTTCATCTGACCATATGACATTCTCCCAATCCTCTTCTGGATCATCCAAATGCACTCTAGCAAACTTCAGACGGGCCTGGACATGTACTGGCTTAAGCAGGGGGACACGTCTGGCACTGCAGGATTTGAGTCCCTGGCGGCGTAGTGTGTTACTGATGGTAGGCTTTGTTACTTTGGTCCCAGCTCTCTGCAGGTCATTCACTAGGTCCCCCCGTGTGGTTCTGGGATTTTTGCTCAACGTTCTTGTGATCATTTTGACCCCACGGGGTGAGATCTTGCGTGGAGCCCCAGATCGAGGGAGATTATCAGTGGTCTTGTATGTCTTCCATTTCCAAATAATTGCTCCCACAGTTGATTTCTTCAAACCAAGCTGCTTACCTATTGCAGATTCAGTCTTCCCAGCCTGGTGCAGGTCTACAATTTTGTTTCTGGTGTCCTTTGACAGCTCTAAAGTATTTTGTCTGTAATGTCTTTTTCGTTATGTTTCGGGACCCAGTAAGACTAGCTGTCACCATTGGCGTCGGCTAATGGGGATCCTAATAAAATCAACAACAACAAAAAAACGTGCTCTTGGGCCTCCCGAGTGGTGCAGCGGTCTAAGGCACTGAATCACAGTGCTAGACGCGTCACTGCAGACCCGGGTTCGATCCTGGATTGTATCACAACCGGCCGTGATCAAGGAGTCCAATAGGGCGGCGCACAATTGGTCCCAGCATCGTCCAGGTTAGGGGAGGGTTTGGCTAGTGGGGGCTTTACTTGGCTCATTGCGCTCTAGCGACTCCTTGTGGCGGGCCGGGCGCCTGTAGGCTGACCTCGGTCGTCAGGTGAACAGTGTTTCCTCCTACACATTGGTGCGGCTGACTTCCGGGTTAAACGGGTGGGTGTTAAGAAGCGCGGTTTGGCGGGTCATGTTTTCGGAGGATGCATGACTGGACCTTCGCCCCCCACCCTTTTTATTTTGCTCTCTCCCTCTCCCTCTCTCTCTCTCTCTCTCTCTCTCTCTCTCTCTCTCTCTCTCTCTCTCTCTCGCTCTCTCTCTCTCTCTCTCTCTCTCTCTATTTCTTTCTCTATACTGCCCTCTCTCTCTTCCTTGCAATCTCTCTCTTGCCCCCCCCCTCTCTCTAAGGGAAACTACTGAGCTACTGTAGCATCCAGCCTCAACTCTGACTCATCTGTATGTAAGATTGCTTTCACTACACAATCTTTCTCTTATAGTCTGTGACCCCAAAACACACAGCCTTACATGCTTAGGTCAGGGTCACGGATAAAGAGAGTGATCTGTGAATCAAATGACTGAATGTGTCAAATACACTTAGCAGGATGGTGAGAATTAGTGAGTCAAAATGCCACATTACATCTTTAAAACCTCACTTACAGGGGTAATAAAAAACATAGAAATAGTGCACATTGAACAGCTATACCGCTTCTTAGAATCACTTTCAATGCGAAGATGTTTAATTGATTTAGCAAATGGAGTTTGAATATGATTATCCATGCTTAGCTAATCAAAGTCAACGTAAAACAATTTGGTGCAGGTTCACGAGGGGGTGCGTTGAGACAACGTTTCCCTGTCGTTGGTTCTATGTTTGCCAGACCGGCCTGAGGGCTCTCAGTACCGGTTTGGACAGTATGAGCTGTCAGTTTGTGTTCTGTTCTCACCTTGTACTCTCCCTGGGACAAATCTGTGGCATCTCTGTCTGAAGAGATCAGCTTTAGACTAGACTATTTGCCTCAACCAAGGCATTATTCCTCCAAAACAATAGAACAGTCATTTATCCATTCATATTTTGATATCTACTTTTGCCCTTCATTACCATGTAATTAATGAGCTACATAATCACCATTATCATCAACTCATATGTTATAACAACCAGTCAGTCAACACACTGCTATTAGGTCATATACACAATATATACAAAAGTATGTGGACACCCCTTCAAATTAGTGGATTCGGCTATTTCAGCCACACCCGTTGCTGACAGGTGTATAAAATCGAGCACACAGTAATGCAATCTCCATAGACAAACATGGGCAGTAGAATGGCCTTACTGAAGAGCTCAGTGACTTTCAACGTAGCTCTGTCATAGGATGCCACATTTCCAAGTCAGTTCCTCAAATTTCTGCCATGCTAGAGCTGCCCCGGTCAACTGTAAGTGCTGTTATTGTGAAGTGGAAACGTCTAGGAGCAACAAATGCTCAGCAGCAAAGTGGTTGGCCACACAAGCTCACCGAACGGGACCCTCGAGTGCTGAAGCGCGTAAAAATTGTCTGTCCTCGGTTGCAACACTCACTACCAAGTTCCAACTGCCTCTGGAAGCAACGTCAGCACAATAACTGTTAGATTGGAGCTTCATGAAATGGGTTTCCATGGTCGAGCAGTCACACACAAGCCTAAGATCACCATGCGCAATTCCAAGCGTCGGCTGGAGTGGTGTAAAGCTCGCCGCCATTGGACTCTGGAACAGTGGAAACATGTTCTCTGGAGTGATGAATCACGCTTCACCATCTGGCAGTCCAACGGATGAATCTGGGTTTGGCGGACACCAGTAGAACGCTACCTGCCCAAATGCGTAGTGCCAACTGTAAAGTTAGGTGGAGGAGGAATAATGGTCTGGGGCTGTTTTTCATGGTTCGGGCTTGGCCCCTTAGTTCCAGTGAAGAGAAATCTTAATGCTACAGCATACAATGACATGCTAGACGATTCTGTGCTTCCAACCTTGTGGCAACAGTTTGGGGAAGGCCCTTTCCTGTTTCAGCATGACAATGCCCCCGTGCACAAAGCGAGGTCCATACAGAAATGGTTTGTCGAGATCGGTGTGGAAGAACTTGACTGGCCTGCACAGAGCCCTGACCTCAACTCCATCGAACACCTTTGGGATGAATTGGAACGCTGACTACGAGCCAGGCCTAATCGCCCAACATCAGTGCCCAACCTCACAAATGCTCTTGTGGCTGAATGGAAGCTAGTCCCCACAGCAATGCTCTAACATCTAGTGGAAAGCCTTCCCAGAAGAGTGGAGGCTGTTATAGCAGCAAAGGGGGGACCAACTCCATATTAATGCCCATGATTTTGGAATGAGATGTTCGACAAGTAGGTGTCCACTTACTTTTGGTCATGTAGTGTACCATCATAGACGTCTTAGATTGTGTTGATTTGATTTAAATTGCATTGGTGTGTTGGTGCAGGGAAGGGCTTTCTGTCTGTCTGTGGGTAGTGAGAGGTGCTGCAGCTCCCCTGAGGCAAGAGTAACTGGGAGTAACAGGGAGGGAGGCTGTTAAGCGGGATCTGGTCCAGGTGTCTGTGGCTCCCTCTCTGGGCTCCGGAATGCTGTCCGGTTCGGAATGCGTGCCATAATGTGTCGTGTCTCAGCCTATCTTCTCGCTTTAATGAGAATGTGTCTATTTGACTGGAAAGCTGTCAGACCCTGTTAACCATGCAGGGTGATAGGAGCTCCGAGAGGGTTTCAACTGTTCCTGTTCGCTCTGTATCGGGGAGGGCGGTTGAGGGGGGCTCATTTCGAAGATGAAGGGAGTGGAACATTTTAAGCCGAGAGGGGAGGAGATGTTGAGGGAGAGTATTATATTTCTGCTCCTTTGTGTTGCATTTCATCCCTTAAGTCAATCAAGTGGTAGTCAATTGAAAATTGTGGATTAGTCATAACTGTACATGTTTATTAGTGTTTATATTTTACAAAAGTTTGCTGCTGTGATCTTGCGTCTAATTCTGTCTGTGTCTGTCCCTCTGTAGCTACAGTGTGTACTGCCTGCTGGGTGATGGGGAGATGTCTGAGGGCTCGGTGTGGGAGGCAATGGCCTTTGCCTCCTACTACCAGCTGGACAACCTGGTTGCCATCCTGGACATCAACCGTCTGGGCCAGAGTGACCCAGCTCCCCTGCAGCACCATGTGGAGAAGTACCAGAAACGCTGCGAAGCCTTCGGGTGAGTACTGGGAGAAAGTCTGTCCTAGAAAATGTGTGGCCTAGAGACCATGAAAGTGGGCCTGAGAATGTAAATTACTCCCACCAATCTTCCCTGGTGTGTGCATGTGTTTGTAGGTGGAATGCCATCATTGTGGATGGGCACAGTGTGGAGGAGCTGACTAAGGTTCTGAGCCAACCCCGTCATCAGCCCACCGCCATCATAGCCAAAACCATCAAGGGCAAGGGAATCCCAGGTACACACTCCCCTACAGTAATACACCTCAACAGATACCCAATCCCATGCGCCCCTATAGGTACTAGTACAGACGGGTTCACCCAGACTAACCAAACCCTAATACTATACCAGGGGGATGAGATGGAAACCCTGCTAGCAGCACCGCCTTTTCCTGCAATATACTAACACCGCTTGATTTGGATACTGAAAGACTCCCCTCTACCCATTCACATTCAAATATATCTGGGGTGCTCGGCTGCTGCTTTATCATCAATACCTACTACCAAACCCCACTAATCCTAAAATCCAAAAGGTATAATCTGTGCCTGTCCCTTAAAATACATAAAGTTATGTCTGATAGACCCGAATCAGCCCTGCCTGTCTTCTATAAGGGGCACCTAAACCAGTGGTAATCCAGGCAGTGCTTTAGAGCATTAGCTGCAGCAGCCTATTAATCCCTCAGAATGTGTAGGATATACTCAGATCACTGGCCTTTGTCTGGCTGTTGTCATAAGAATATGGCTTTTGATGTGGAGCCCTGACCTATAGAATTGTCTTTGATGGCCACTCATGTGTAAGGCTTTGTGATGAGAGAGGGGGGCGTTGAGGAATATGTAATTTACGACAATTTGATGCTGATATCATGTCAAACAGATATATAAAATAAGCAGATTGTCCACCAATCAATGCACTGCTTATCAAATCAAATCACATTTTATTTGCCACATGCGCCGAATACAACAGGTGTAGACATTACAGTGAAATGCTTACTTACAAGCCCTTAACCAAAAATGCAGTGTTTAAGAAAAAAAAAGAATGTTAAATAAAAAATAGATAAGGAAAAAATTAAAAATAATTAAAGCAGCAGTAAAATAAAATAACAGTAGGGAGGCTATATACAGGGGGTACCGGTACAGAGTCAATGTGCGGGGGCACCGGTTAGTCGAGGTAATTGAGGTAATATGTACATGTGGGTAGAGTCATTGTGACTATGCATAAATAATAATCAGAGTAGCAGCAGCGTAAAAGAGGGGGTTGGGGTGGGGTGGGGTGGGGGGGCAATGCAAATAGTCTGGGTATCCATGATTAGCTGTTCAGGAGTCTTATGGCTTGGCGGTAGAAGCCTTTTGGACCTAGACTTGGCGCTCCGGTACCACTTGCCGTGCGGTAGCAGAGAGAACAGTCTATGACTAGGGTGGCTGGAGTCTTTGATAATTTTTAGGGCCTTCCTCTGATACCGCCTGGTATAGGGGTCCTGGATGGCAGGAAGCTTGGCCCCAGTGATGAACTGGGCCGTACGCAATACCCTCTGTAGTGCCTTGCGGTTGGAGGCAGAGCAATTTCCATACCAGGCTGTGATGCAACCAGTCAGGATGCTCTCGATGGTGCAGCTGTATAACTTTTTGAGGATCTGAGGACCCATGCCAAATCTTTTCAGTATCCTGAGGGGGAATAGGCTTTGTCGTGCCCTCTTCACGACTGTCTTGGTGTGTTTGGACCATGATAGTTTGGTGATGTGGACACCAAGGAACTTGAAGCTCTCAACCTGCTCCACTACAGCCTGTCGATGAGAATGGGGGCGTGCTCAGTCCTCTTTTTTTTCCAGTAGTCCACAATCATCTCCTTTGTCTTGATCACGTTGAGGGAGAGGTTGTTATCCTGGCACCACACGGCCAGGTCTCTGACCTCCTCCCTATAGGCTGTCTCATCGTTGTCGGTGATCAGGCCTACCACTGTTGTGTCGTCGGCAAACTTAATGATGGTGTTGGAGTCATGCCTGGCCATGCAGTCATGGGTGAACCGGGAGTACAGGAGGGGACTGAGCATGCACCCCTGAGGGGCCCCCATGTTGAGGATCAGCGTGGCAGATGTGTTGTTACCTACCCTTACCATCTGGGGGCGGCCCGTCAGGAATTCCAGGATCCAGTTGCAGAGGGAGGTGTTTAGTCCCAGGATCCTTAGCTTAGTGATGAACTTTGAGGGCACTATGTTATATACATACTAAAGCCGTATTTGCTGGGTGTGAGGTAGTGTGATGTCTGTCTGTCTGTGTGTGTGTATTTCATCATGTTCTCTGTGTGTGTTATAGCTGCGGAGGACAAGATGGGCTGGCATGGGAAGCCCGTGCCCAAGGAGATGGCTGAGGGGGTGATGAAGGACATCCAGGCGCGCATCATGAACAGCAACAAGCGGCTGTACCCCGCCACGCCCACTGAGGACGCCCCACCCGTCAGCCTGCGCAACGTCCGCATGCCCAGCGCACCCAGCTACAAACTCGGAGAGAAGGTGTGTGCGTACGTGCGTGTAGTTGAGAGAGAGAGAGAGCAAGAGCGTTAGATAGAGAGAGATGCTTTAAGTCCTGGAACAAGGCACAGGCACTATCTTGACTTACATGATGGTGATGGACTGCTACATTGACCTGTGTTTTTAATGAACTAACCCATTGGTTGTGTTTGGCTCCAGATTGCCACGCGGAAGGCCTATGGCATGGCTCTGGCTAAGCTAGGCCGCTACAACAAGCATGTGGTGGCTCTGGATGGAGACACCAAGAACTCCACCTTCTCTGAGCTCTTTAAGAACGAGCACCCCGAACGCTACGTCGAGTGCTACATTGCCGAGCAGAACATGGTAAGCTTAGCTGACACCCAATGCCACATATCTGACCTGAGTCTAGGGCTAGTAGGCTGAACTGAAGTGTACTGCTCACAAAATCTTCTTTTTTTTTTTACGAATAATGATACGCTGTTATTGATAGCACTATGTGACATCAACCCAAAATGACCATCAAAGTTCCATCCAGACCATTCGAACTGTAGGCCTGCATGTCTTTGTATTTGAACGGCTGTAGAATGACACACAACTCAGCTTTATCCATCACTATAGTCTAAACCGGCCTCTTCTGCTTCTTCCCACCCTCTATCTGAATGATTCGCCTCTGACACACAGAGTGCCACACCCCCACTTCTAGGGCCTGAATCCTTCTACCCTTCCTGCCTGATTGGCTAAGAGACTTAGACTCATTCGTAATGTCTCGGCTAGATTCCAGTGGCAGTTCCTTCAGAGGCATCATTAGCAGGTTTAATGGAGATGTATTGTGGCCTGTGACTAGTTGTGACTCCCACACACACAATAGAGAAGTAAAATATAGGTCAGATGTTATTTAGATGAATTAATGATTTACGCTCGTCATGCTGTCACATCAAATATGAATATTATTAAGGGATTGGAACATTGTAATGCTCTGTTGGCTTTCTAAGTATCTAAGTAACGATGCTCTATGCTAGCTAACGACACACTTTGCTTTGCTGTACCTAATGTACATGGCATTGTTTAAACCACCAATGTACTGTATTTTCGTGAGTAAAAGCTCTCACTGACAATGTCTCACACAGGCCCCATCCCCTTAGCAAGGCCTCATGGGGAATGGGATTTCTCAGGGCTAACAGGAAATGAAATGGGACAAATATAAAATCTCCGCCATATGAATTGAAAGATGATGGCTCCCTCCTTATGAGTCTAAGGAATGACGTGAGGCACTTTGGGCAGAATGTGAGAACACAAGTTGCTCAGGCTTCTATGTGGTATTTTAATCATGAACACCGCTTTCCTCCCTCTCCTCGTCTGTCAGGTGAGCATTGCAGTGGGCTGTGCCACGCGGGACCGTAACGTGGTGTTCGCCAGCACCTTCGCCACCTTCTTCACACGTGCCTACGACCAGCTTCGCATGGCCGCCATCTCCGAGAGCAACATCAACCTGTGTGGCTCCCACTGCGGTGTGTCAATCGGTCAGTCCGCCCACTGACCTTTGACCCCCCCCCCTAGTGACTTGTCTGTGTAATGACCCCTGTGACTTCCTCACTGTGACCCTGACGTAGCTCTCAGCACTTGTTCCTCTGGGACTGATTCAGCCCACTGCAGAAGACTTGGCTTACTGTCACACAGTACTAACACAGTGCTTCCCCTAACACTGTTTAGGCGGATAGGGCATTTGGCTTCAGTTGGTTTCGATTGAACGTTTTGGTAACACTCCTGCAGTGGGTTGAATCGTTCCCTTGTAATTGACCTCGTGTCGTATAATCCTGTATTATTTCCTGAATCCTGAACTTTGATTTTGTTTCTTCACACTTCCTTCCATCTACCACTGTATCAGTGTGGCTCCGGCCAGCACTCGTTCCCTCCCTCCCTCTCTCTCTCTCTGTGTCATGGAAGTGGTGGTGGCGGGGCGGCCAGGTTTCCTTTTGGTTCGTCAGGTACATTGCATGCCCACGCCGACTCGCCCCACTGAACGCATGCCAGTCCTGTAGCTTTCACTTTCAGCCAGCCCAAACACCCCAAGTGCTGTTCTATCAGACGTGTGTGTATGTGTTCTAGGAGAGGATGGTCCTTCTCAGATGGGCCTTGAAGACATTGCCATGTTCAGAGCCATTCCCACGGCAACCATTTTCTACCCTAGCGATGGTGTGTCCGCTGAAAAAGCTGTGGAGCTGGCCGCCAACACAAAGGTACTCCGCACCCCCTCTGTCACATCTGCCTCTTGCTTTGCGCTCACTCTGCAATATCTTGGGTTCACACAGCTGCTGAGTATGGCTCTGTTTAGTAAACCTGTCTGACAAATGACAAGGTAATGAAAGTCCAGAGGCTGATTGACATGTTCCATCTGTGTTTCAGGGTGTGTGTTTCATCAGAACCAGTCGCCCAGAGAACGCTGTTCTTTACAACAGCAACGAGGACTTCCATGTGGGACAGGCAAAGGTATGGAGACCAATGATAGCTGAGATCTACTATACACACTGACTAATTAAAGGGCCAATGCAGCTGTTTTTATCTCAATATCAAATCATTTCTGGGTAACAGTTTAGTAACTTACTGTGATTGTTTTCAATTAAAATGGTCAAAATGGAACAGAAATAGCTTCTTAGAAAAATTCAATATATCAAGTAAGAATTTTGCTAGGACTGTCTAAGAGAGGGGCCTAATTGGAGGAGTCTATTGGGAGGGATGTGTAACCTGAAAACTAGCTGTTATTGGCAGAGAGGAGGGCAAACTCTCTTTGCTATTGGTCTATTAACTTACAGTATACAAAAAGCTCCACCCAGCCAAACAAGCTGACATTTCAGGCCTTTTCAAACAGTTCTTACACGAAAAGTGCATTATCAGAATTTTCACAATTTCATAGTATTATTCCAACCTCATAGTGTGGAAATATATATATTTTTGAAATGTACTGCAATGCTCCTTTAAAGACTTACAACTGTCTTAAAGTACTTACATGCTTGCTAAATTATTTTCATTTGAATATGCCTAGAAAATAGAAACCTCAATCCCCTGTCCACCAGGTTGTGTACAAGACCAACGATGATCATGTGACAGTGATTGGAGCGGGCGTGACCCTTCATGAGGCACTGGCAGCTGCTGAAATGCTAAAGAAAGGTACAGAACCATAATTTCGGAAAGTTACATAGATCCGTCACTGTAACTCAGTCTATATTATACATTCGCTGTTAGCAAATGTGCTCTTTACCCAGGCACTGATGGCATCAACGTCTTCTGAGTGACACATGCACACACACACACATGCACACACACACACAAACATGCGCACACACACACACAAACATGCACACAAGCACACACATACTGACACTTTGTTGTGAGACTTGTCCCACTAAGGCATTGGACTGTTCAGCATGATCTGGAGCAGGGACAACTGGTGGCAGCCCCCATTTTGAAGGCCCCATGTAGCTCAGTTGGTAGAGCATGGCGCTTGCAACGCCATGGTTGTGGGTTCGATTCCCACGGGGGGCCTGTATGAAAATGTATGCACTCACTAACTGTAAGTCACTCTGGATAAGAGCGTCTGCTAAATGACTAAAATGTAAATGTAAAATGATATACAGTGCATTCGGAAAGTATTCAGACCAACTTCACTTTTTTCACATTTTGTTACATTACAGCCTTATTCTAAAATGTATTAAATAGTTTTTTCCCCTCATCAATCTGCACACAATACCCCATAATGACAAAGAAAAAACAGGTTGTAAAACATTTTAGCAAAATAAAACCCCGGAAATATTACATTTACATAAGTATTCAGACCCTTTACTCAGTACTTTGTTGAAGCACCTTTGGCATCGATTACAACCTTGAGTCTTCTTGGGTATGACGCTACAAGCTTGGCACACCTGTATTTGGGGAGTTTCTCCCATTCTTCTCTGCAGATACTCTCAAGCTCTGTCAGGTTGGATGGGGAGCGTTGCTGCACAGCTATTTTCAGGTCTCTCCAGAGATGTTAGATTGGGTTCAAGTCCAGGCTCTGGCTGGGCCACTCAAGGACATTCAGAGACTTGTCCCGAAGCCACTCCTGCGTTGTCTTGGCTGTGTGCTTAGGGTCGTTGTCCTGTTGGAAGGTGAACCTTCGCCCCAGTCTGAGGTCCTGAGCTCTCTGGAGCAGGTTTTCATCAAGGATCTCTCTGTACTTTGCTCCGTTCATCTTTCCCTCATACCTGACTTGTCTCCCAGTTCCTGCCGCTGAAAAACATCCCCACAGCATGGTCCTGCCACCACCATGCTCACCGTAGGGATGGTGCCAGGTTTCCTCCAGATGTGACGCTTGGCATTCAGGCAAAAGAGTTCAATCTTGGTTTCATCAGACCAGAGAATCTTGTTTCTCATGGTCTGTGTCCTATAAGTGCCTTGTGGCAAACTCCAAGACTGTCATGTGCCTTTAACTGAGGAGCGGCTTTAATCTGGCCACTCTACCATAAAGGCCTGATTGGTGGAGTGCTACAGAGATGGTTGTTCTTCTGGAAGGTTCTCTGTCAGAGTGACCATCAGGTTGTTGGTCACCTCCCTGACCAAGGCCCTTCTCCCCTGATTGCTCAGTTTGGCCGAGCGGCCAGCTCTAGGAAGAGTCTTGGTGGTTCCAAACTTCTTCCATTTAAGAATGATGGAGAACACTGTGTTCTTGGGGACCTTCAATGCTGCAGACATTTTTTGGTGCCCTTTCCCAGATCTGTGCCTCGACACAATCCTGTCGGAGCTCTATGGACAATTCCTTCAACCTCATGGCTTGGTTTTTGCTCTGACATGCACTGTCAACTGTGGGACCTTATATAGACAGGTGTGTGCCTTTCCAAATCATGTTCAATTAATTGAATTTACCACAGGTGGACTCCAATCAAGTTGTAGAAACATCTCAAGGATGATCAATGGAAACAGGATGCACCTGAGCTCAATTTCGAGTCTCATAGCAATGGGTCTGAATACTTATGTAAATAAGTGTTTTTTATTTTTTAATACATTTGCAAAAATGTCTAAACCTGTTTTCGCTTTGTCATTATGGGGTATTGTGTGTAGATTGATGAGGGAAAAAAATAACTGAATCAATTTTAGAATAAGGCTGTGGAAAAAGTGATGGTCTGAATACTTTCCGAATGCACTGTGTGTGTGTGTTGTGTATATATATATACATTGGACACACCTACTCATTCAAGGGTTTTTCTTTATTTTTACTATTTTCTACATTGTAGAATAATAATGAAGACATCAAAACTATGAAATACCACATATGGAATCATGTAGTAAACAAAAAAGGGTTAAACAAATCAAAATATATGTTATATTTAAGATTCTTCAAATAGCCACCCTTTGCCTTGATGACAGCTTTGCACACTCTTGGCATTCTTCACCTGGAATGCTTTTCCAACTGTCTTGAAGGAGTTCCCACATATGCTGAGCACTTGTTGGCTGCTTTTCCTTCACTCTGCCGTCCGACTCATCCCAAACCATCTCAATTGGGTTGAGGTCTTGGGATTATGGAGGCCAGGTCATCTGATGCAGTACTCCATCACTCTCCTTCATGGTCAAATAGCCCTTAAACAGCCTGGAGGTGTGTTGGGTCATTGTCCTGTTGAAAGACAAATGATAGTCCCACTAAGCCCAAACCAGATGTGATGGCGTATTGCTGCAGAATGCTGTGGTAGCCATGCTGGTTAAGTGGGCCTTGAATTCTAAATAAATCACAGACAGTGTCACAAGCAAAGCACCCCCATAACATAAAACCTCCTCCTCCATGATTTACGGTGGGAACTACACATGCGGAGATCATCCGTTCACCCACACTGCGTCTCACAAAGACACAGCGGTTGGAACCAAAAATCTCCAATTTGGACTCCAGACCAAAGGACACATTTCCACCGGTCTACTGTCCATTGCTTGTTTCTTGGCCCAAGCAGGTCTCTTCTTCTTATTGGTGTCCTTTGGTAGTGGTTTCTTTGCAGCAATTCGACCATGAAGGCCTGATTCACAGTCCCCTTTGAACAGTTGATGTTGAAATGTGTCTGTGACTTGAACTCTGTGAAGCATTTATTTGGCCTGCAATTTCTGAGGCTGGTAACTCTAATGAACTTATCCTCTGCAGCAGATGTAACTCTGGGTCTTCCATTCCTGTGGTGGTCCTCATGAGAGACAGTTTCATCATAGCGCTTTATGGTTTTTGCGACTGCACTTGAAGAAACTTTCGAAGTTCTTGACATTTTCCGTATTGACTGACACAACACAACTGATTGGCTCAAACGCATTAAGAAGGAAAGAAATTCCACAAATTAACTTTTAAGAAGGCACACCTGTTAATTGAAATGCATTCCAGGCGACTACCTTATAAAGCTGGTTGAGAGAATGCCAAGAGCGTGCAATGCTGTCATCAAGGCAGAGGGTGGCTGTTTGAAGAATCTCAAATATGACGTATATTTTGATTTGTTTAACACTTTTTTGGTTACTACATGATTCCATATGTGTTATTTCATAGTTTTGATGTCTTCACTATTATTCTACAATGTAAAAATAAAGAAAAACCCTTGAATGAGTAGGTGTGTCCAAACTTTTGACTGGTAGTGTATATGTGTTGTGACAAGGTAGGGGTTGGTATACAGAAGATAGCCCTATTTGGTAAAAGACCAAGTCCATATTATGGCAAGAACAGCTCAAATAAGCAAAGAGAAACGACAGTCCATCATTGCTTTAAGACATGAAGGTCAGTCAATCCGGAAAATGTCAAGAACTTTGAAAGTTTCTTCAAGTGCAGTCGCAAAAACCATTAAGCGCAATGATGAAACTGGCTCTCATGAGGACCACCACAGGAATGGAAGACCCAGAGTTACCTCTGCTGCAGAGGATAAATTCATTAAAGTTAACTGCACCTCAGATTGCAGCCCAAATAAATACTTCACAGAGTTCAAGTAACAGACACATCTCAACATCAACTGTTCAGAGGTGACTGCGTGAATCAGGCCTTCATGGTCGAATTATTGCAAAGAAACCACTACTAAAGGACACCAATAAGAAGATGAGACTTGCTTGGGCCAAGAAACACAAGCAATGGACATTAGACCGGTGGAAATCTGTCCTTTGGTCTGATGAGTCCAAATGTGAGATTTCTGTTTCCAACCGCCGTGTCTTTGTGAGACACAGAGTAGGTGAACGGATGATCTCCACATGTGTGGTTCCCACCGTGAAGCATGGAGGAGGAGGTGTTATATGGTGTGGGGGTGCTTTGCTGGTGACACTGTCTGTGATTTATTTAGAATTCAAGGCACATATATATATATATATATATTTTGCGGCCCCTCATGATGCGTTCAGATTTTTTGTGTCCCCCACCAACATCAAAGATGCCTATCACTGATCTGGAGTATATGCCAACTGTAGTGGCTGATAGTGGCACCCTTTAAATAAGCATTTACACCCCAACAACAGAGTCAGCGCTCCTGCCATCTGTCTCCAGCATTGACAAAAGTCTAGATTTCATTCTACTCTTTATCTGGTATTGGTTAGGAGGAATTCTTATTTTACATTGACTGAGTGCTGTGTGTCCTTTTCTGTAGCTCGTTATATTACAGTGGGGAAAAAAAGTATTTAGTCAGCCACCAATTGTGCAAGTTCTCCCACTTAAAAAGATGAGAGAGGCCTGTAATTTTCATCATAGGTACACGTCAACTATGACAGACAAAATGAGAAAAAAAATTCCAGAAAATCACATTGTAGGATTTTTAATGAATTTATTTGCAAATTATGGTGGAAAATAAGTATTTGGTCAATAACAAAAGTTTCTCAATACTTTGTTATATACCCTTTGTTGGCAATGACACAGGTCAAACGTTTTCTGTAAGTCTTCACAAGGTTTTCACACACTGTTGCTGGTATTTTGGCCCATTCCTCCATGCAGATCTCCTCTAGAGCAGTGATGTTTTGGGGCTGTCGCTGGGCAACACAGACTTTCAACACCCTCCAAAGATTTTCTATGGGGTTGAGATCAGGAGACTGGCTAGGCCACTCCAGGACCTTGAAATGCTTCTTACGAAGCCACTCCTTCATTGCCCGGGCGGTGTGTTTGGGATCATTGTCATGCTGAAAGACCCAGCCACGTTTCATCTTCAATGCCCTTGCTGATGGAAGGAGGTTTTCACTCAAAATCTCACGATACATGGCCCCATTCATTCTTTCCTTTACACGGATCAGTCGTCCTGGTCCCTTTGCAGAAAAACAGCCCCAAAGCATGATGTTTCCACCCCCATACTTCACAGTAGGTATGGTGTTCTTTGGATGCAACTCAGCATTCTTTGTCCTCCAAACACGACGAGTTGAGTTTTTACCAAAAAGTTCTATTTTGGTTTCATCTGACCATATGACATTCTCCCAATCCTCTTCTGGATCATCCAAATGCACTCTAGCAAACTTCAGACAGGCCTGGACATGTACTGGCTTAAGCAGGCGGACACGTCTTGCACTGCAGGATTTGAGTCCCTGGCGGCGTAGTGTGTTACTGATGGTAGGCTTTGTTACTTTGGTCCCAGCTCTCTGCAGGTCATTCACTAGGTCCCCCCGTGTAGTTCTGGGATTTTTGCTCACCGTTCTTGTGATCATTTTGACCCTACGGGGTGAGATCTTGCGTGGAGCCCCAGATCGAGGGAGATTATCAGTGGTCTTGTATGTCTTCCATTTCCTAATAATTGCTCCCACAGTTGATTTCTTCAAACCAAGCTGCTTACCTATTGCAGATTCAGTCTTCCCAGCCTGGTGCAGGTCTACAATTTTGTTTCTGGTGTCCTTTGTCAGCTCTTTGGTCTTGGCCATAGTGGAGTTTGGAGTGTGACTGTTTGAGGTTGTGGACAGGTGTCTTTTATACTGATAACAAGTTCAAACAGATGCCATTAATACAGGTAACGAGTGGAGGACAGAGGAGCCTCTTAAGGAAGAAGTTACAGGTCTGTGAGAGCCAGAAATCTTGCTTGTTTGTAGGTGACCAAATACTTATTTTCCACCATAATTTGCAAATAAATTCATAAAAAATCCTACAATGTGATTTTCTGGATTTTTTTCCCTCAATTTGTCTTTCATAGTTGACGTGTACCTATGATGAAAATTACAGGCCTCTCTCATCTTTTTAAGTGGGAGAACATGCACAAATAGTGGCTGACTAAATACTTTTTTTCCCCACTGTATCTTGTGTTTCTCTCTCAGAGAGGATCAACATTCGAGTGATTGACCCTTTCACCATCAAGCCTCTGGACTCCAAGTCCATCATCGAGCACGCCAAGGCCACCAGGGGACGCATCATCACAGTAGAGGACCACTACTATGAGGGTGGGTACTCTGCACACACAGGCTGCCTTCTGAACTCAGGTTATCTTATTCCAGTGGAATATGTGGTAGAGTGCCTCTGAGGTATGTAGTAATATATATAACATTATGCAGTTGCCAGGCATTCCAATGATTTGTGGTTAATGCTCTCTGATATGAAAAAGAAAATGTATGCACTCACTAACTGTAAGTCGCTCTGGTTAAGAGCGTCTGCTAAATGACTAAAATGTAAATGTAAAATGATATTGAGAAGTGTCATGGCTGCAGTATTTGAGCATGTGAAGAAGGAGGAGGAGAAGAGACTAGCGTCCCTCAGTGTTTTTCCACTTCAGCTCTGCTCTGGCCTTTGGGCTTTCACTGACCTAGAAAACAGGAAGGGGGAAAAACACAAGTCCAAAAGTGTGTGTGTGTGGTTTTATTTTGGCGCAGTTGCCTTATTTGTCCTTTGGGATTTATACAGTCCGTTGATGGAACTTAACAAAGAAATGAATAAGCACAGCCATGCCACAGTCAGCATCTTAACATTAACTAACCCCCAACCGAGAAAAACCATGCCGTGACAACCCCCAATCCCCACCCCCATCTATACATGAGCATGAATAGTGCATTATGACAGGTGAGCATGCAAGGACACGGTGGGGGATGGGGGTGGGGGTCCACTCAGAGCCACAGGGGGTGGGAAGACCGTGTGTGAGGGAGAGGAAAGGGAGGCTGTGGTAGGGGCATTAGAGGGGCTGTATGGAGAGACCCAGGCCTCAAGGACCCTAATAGTGCAGATGGCTACTACAGTAGAGTGGTGGAACGCCCTCTCTCGCCCCCGGCTCCCCTTCGCCACCCCGGGCCTGATTGTCAGTCAATGAGTGGGTGGTGGCATGCCTGTCGGGGAGGCTCAGGTCCCAGTGGTGCTCAGTGGGCCATGGAGGTGTCAGTGATACAGGGTCAGTGGATTGGAAGACAAAGTCGATGTATCAATCGGACTGACTGGCCAGCTACTGTACATGCTGTACAACACAGCGGGGCTTCACTGGACAAAGACAGACCGCTCAGCAAGACGGACACAAATGAGTTAGAGAAGGATGTTAGATATGTAGTCTTAGCACTTAACACATTTGTCCTATGAAGACCCAGAATATAGCGCTCCCTAGTCTTACACTTTGTTACAAATGTTGATGTCAAAAGGGCTATAATATAAATGTGATTGACTGACATGTGGTTGTAATTCTTTAGGTGGCCTGGGAGAGGCCGTGTGTTCTGCTGTGGTGAATGAGATCGGCTTCAATGTGCACCGTTTGGCCGTGGCCCACATTCCCCGCAGTGGCAAGCCCACCGAGCTCCTCAAGATCTTCGGCATCGACCGTGACACCATCGCGCAGGCCGTCCGTAAGATGCTCAGCAGCTCCGCAAATGCCAAATAGACCACTACCGGCATCACGGCATTGTCATGGAAACGTCAACAGGGAAGCACATCTGGCACACCCGCTCTCCCTCTCCGAGAATAAGAAGTATGAATCAAATAATAAAAATTTAAAAAGTGAATATGGGATTGTCAATGTGGTTTTGACCCTTGACCCCTTGTAAGTTCAGTACCCCACTCCCCAACACTCCACCCCATCCCAGAGAAAGTCACGAGTACTGCTGTAGTCTAAGTAAGCGGTGAACGTTTCTTTGAGTAATTTTTGTCTGATTATTTTCACATGCGACACACCCCACGCGAGTGAGTGGACATGGGTCTGGTGTAGAGCACTGTTTTTAGCCCCTCCTCCTGACTGGGACTTCACACCAATAAAGGAATGGTTTCTTCACATCCCTTGTGTCTAAAAGTTTTTTCATGTCTTGTACTTTCAGGATTTCATGTCCATAATCAAATACCATCATGCACATTCATTCACACACACACCTACAGAGCATAGCCTACATGGCAACACACATTGACTTGAGCCACACCTGATTGATTCTGGTGCAGTGTGTCTACAAAGAGTCTGGACCATGGGCCCTGTCTACATGCTGCATTGAGAGCTGAACATACAAGCACATACCCACCATGTGCTGTGCATATTTCATGTGTGTTAATAATTAAAAAGCCTATTGAAAGATTCAAGAGCACTGCAGCATGTGTGTGTGCAATGAAACTGCAGACAGAGATGCTCTTTAAACATCGGGGTCATCCAACAAGATGAGAGAGGGTAGACAAATGATGCACAGAAACCCACCACAGAAATATGATACAAACTGCATACATGGCTGCTTTCACTCTAACCTGAAGACATCTGAGCTGGAGAATATAGGCTAAAGCATTTTGAGACACTGAAGCAGGCTAATCTGTCCCTTGGTGAGAGACAGTGTAGATTTACTGGAAGTCATAGTCCATGGTACTCACTGTACTCAAGCCTAGTGTGGGTTTCCCCATAGGTTAGTACATGTGATACTGTAACTCAGTGGTTCCCAAAGTCTTTTTTTTTTACTCTTGGAAGTTGTAATAGTAGAATCCTCTTGTCATGTCAGTCATTGCATACCTTAGAGAGCTATTTATAACTGGTCAGAAATGTCCAGATCAACTATTCCATGTCAGCTAAAGTTTTTTAGCTAGGTTTTTTAGTCTATAGATTTTTTGTAATGTTTGAGTCACTCAAATATCACGAATACACATTAGACATGGCAAAATGTATTGGATTGAAAGAAGATTTGCTTTAGAATTGCTAAATGTTCTCTGCACCTCATGACAAAATGTGTAGAATTGCAGGAAATAAGCTTTAAAACCTGCAAAATATTCTCTGTCAACAAGAGCGCGTGAACAGTTTGTGTCATGAACAGTGCTTGTGCCAATAGAAATAGAGGTGGCGCGCGCAGGATGTTCCCCAATGCTGGAAGGGGGGCCATGTATATCCACACCCTTGAGTGAACAGCCAGTCCGCTAGCTCTGTCAAGGAACATCAGAGCACTCTACCATGGCCTCCATCCCTACTGTAACTGTTCCCCAGACAGGTCTGCCCACATCTTCCACCCCTAGTAACCCTCAAACAAACACACAAAACCAGTCTACTGCACACAAATGTCCACCACAGACCGCCTAAAACACAGAGACATTTCCGTCTTTTGAGTAATGTAAAATAAATACTTTCTTCTTTTTTGAAGGGGTGTCATGAAATCGAATACAGGAAGAGGAACAATTTTATAGTTCATGTTGTCACTCCCCCTCATATCTGCCATTTCCAGTCCCAGCTCCTGCCCTTCACGCCTTCTGTTTCTGCCACATTTCCCTCTACTCCTGCCATCCTCTTCACACCATCAACTATAGACCAATTTTCCGTCCGCATCATGAAATGTTGTGTGCGCAGTTCGTCATCAGATTTCTCTGCTTACCTAGCAGTGGATACGATCACATGCAACTTCAAATGCAGCTTGTGTAAGTTAACAAACATGTAATCAGATGCTTATCCTCTACATTAAAACATCGCAGATGTCATCAGAGTATTGTTTACACAAATAGACAAATAGAGTTACAGTGCCTTAAAATATTTACACCCCTTCACCTTTTCCACATTTGTTGTGTTGCAGCCTGAATTTAAAATTGAGATTTGGTGTCACTGGCCTACACACAATACCCCACAATGTCAAAGTGGAATAATGTTTAAAAATGTATACAAAATGAAAAGCTGAAATGTCTTGAGTCAATAAGTAGTCAACCCCTTTTATGGCAAGCCTAAATAAGTTCAGGTGTAAAAATTTGACATTGAATATCCCTTTGAGCATGGTGAAGTTATTAATTACACTTTGGATGGAGTATCAATACACCCAGTCACTACAAAGATACAGGCGTCCTTCATAACTCAGTTGCCAGATAGGTGAAATCCCTGAGCAGTTTCCTTCCTTCAGGCCAATGGTGACTTTAAAACAGTTTCAGATTTTAATGGCTGTGATAGGAGAAACTGAGGATGGATCAACAACATTGTAGTTACTCCACAATACTAACCTAAATGACAGTGAAAAGAAGGAAGCCTGTACAGAATATAAATATTCCAAAACATGCATCCTGTTTGCAATAAGGCACTAAAGAAAAACTGCAAAAAATGTGGCAAAGAAATTAATTTTATGTCCTGAATACAAAGCATTATGTTTGGAGCATATCCAACACATCACTGAGTACCACTCTTCATATTTTCACGCATGGTGGCTGCATCATGTTATGGGTATGCCTGTCATTGACAAGGACTAGGGAGTTTTTTTTGGATAAAAATTAACGGAATAGAGCTAAGCACAGGCAAAATCCTAGAGTAAACCCTGGTTGTCTGCTTTCCAACAGACACTGGGAAACAAATTCACCTTTCAGCAGGACAATAGCCTAAAACACAAGGCCAAATATACACTAACCAAGATTACATAGAATTTTCCTGAGAGTTTTGACTTAAAATCAGCTTGAAAATCTATGGCAATACTTGAAAATGGCTGTCTTGGAATGATCAACAACCAACTTGACAGAGCTTGAACAATTGTACAAAGAATAATGTGCAAATATTGTCCAATCTAGATGTGCAAATATCTTACAGATTTACCCAGAAGACTCACAGTTGTAATCACTGCCAAAGGTGATTCTAACATATATTGACTCAGGGGTGTAAATATTTACATAAATGAGATATTTCTGTATTTCATTTTCAATAAATTTGCTAACATTTCTAAAAACATGTTTTCACTTTGTCATTATGGGGTAATGTGTGTAGATGGCTGAAAAAACAAATATTTAATACATTTTGAATTCAGGCTGTGACAACTAAATGTGAAATAAGTCAAGGGGTATGAATACTTTCTTAAGGGACTGTAGATAAAGCCAGAAGAATAATATACTTGTTGAACATAGCTATAGCCATCAGTCTTGTGTGTTTTCATGTTCATCACTCACTTACTGTTAAGTTTGTCAAGGTCCCGACATTAGCGTTAGCTATCCTGCTACAGTGCATTTTGCTGTTGGGATGCGCACGCATCACTCGAATGTGACGTTTGATGGCAAACAGAAAATGTATCTATACACACATTTATTCACACATTAACGTCAACACTGAAGATTGTGTGTGTTCTTCCTTCAGTATCACCTCTCCACTTCCTGCCAACACAGATGTTCTGGTCCATCATCTCCATCCTCCTCTAGTTCCTGTACTCGTCTCGGATGAGGCTCATGAGGTCACGCGACAGCTGCACCACACCGTCGATGGTGCGCAGGTCTTGCGCCATGACTTCCAATTCTGGGCTGCAGCTGCGCAGGCTGTCCTCGATGTGTTCTTCCCCGGCAACACCGAGACAACAGCCCACGATGATTCCACCCACAGCAGGCCGGTCCAGGACGTAGCGGGTAGCCACGTTGGCGATGGAGCAGCCATGACCCCTGGCAACCGTGTCCAAGGCAACCAGCAGCTCCTGGAACACCCCCCATCCACGTTCTTGTACTTACTGAGGGAGGCGGTGTTGAGCTCCGCCCTGCTTGTAGGCTCCGCCTTCCCTAGATAGCGCTCTGAGAGTAGACCACCGGCTGAGAGATAGAGGGTGGACAGAGAGATGGAGGTTTAAAAAGATGGGGGGGGGGGGGACACAGAAAGAGAGAAATGGTAAAGATGAGGAAAGAGGAACAGCAAGAAATACATAGAATGGGAAGGGATAGGGTGAAGAAGGGGGCAGAGAAACAGCGCAGATGCATCGTCAGTTTGGTCTCCATCTTAGAACACCATTTTTTTTATCACTACACCCCACATGGCAAGAGAGTCAATATGGAAAGTATTTCTCAAATCGCTAACACTAAAAAACTGACAATAACCGGTCACTGAAGTTGCAACAGTAACTGTGACCTAGCCTGGTCTATAGGTCAGAAGGGTTGGCTAAACCCCATACAGACCTGGACCAGGCTAACTGGGACCTAACCCAACCCTTCACCACTGACATAAATGCTTGTGCTTCTTCATCCTCTTAAATGACTCAACCCAGATGATCTAGAGCAGTCAAGTAGTCAAGTCATGGGGGAGTGGCTGTGATGACCTAATCCCCCATGACCTCTGACCGTAGGTCAGGAGCTGGATGCCGTGAGACAGGCAGAACGCCTCCATCTTAGCAGCAGGCTGCTGGTCGATCAGGGAGTACTGCACCTGGAAGGAAACATTTCTGAACATTAATTCTGGATGTTGATGTAGACCAGTGGTCACCAACCTTTTCTGAGTTAAGATCACTTTTGCAGTCAAAAAGCAAGCCGAGATCTACCGCAATTTTTTTTTTTTTTTAAACATGACTTAAAAAATGTTACATGATTAACCTAATAAAAACAGTTATGTAGGAATGAGGTTTGTGCAGTAGGCCTAATACATTATCACAGCATATTGGCTATATGCCTGGCCTGCCAGTATTGTTCTTCTCAGACCATATTACATTTAATTCTCAAGCTTTGATAACAAAATAGATCAGTTAGTGTAGCACTTCCAAGTTACAGCTGAGCATAAATTGAAATAATTTGCAAATAATTAGCTTTTTTATTTTACTGGACTGATGGTACCTGCATCTGATGGTCATGGTGCTTTCATGACAACTAGGAACTCGGAAAAAACGATTGTCAAATCATGACGTCAGTGAATTCAGGTCGGAAAGTTGGAGCTCTAGAAAGATGCCAGAGTTTCCGAGTTGGATGACTATTTATCCCAGTCGGATCTCTTTTTTTCAGAGTTCCCAGTTGTATTGAACATGGCATTAGTCTCAGAGGAGGGAGAGAGCAGCAGAGGGTCCGCCTCTCACGGTCCCTGCTCTCTCCTTCTTTTCCTCGGGTGAGACTGACAAGAGAGAGGGGACACAGTCTTCCACCTGATAGTGAAACTCGAGTCAAACAGCATCTGCCTCAGACACAAATTCATGTTGTTCCAATGACCAGAGAAAGTGAAATACTGCTAATAATAATAAAAACGCAGGGCTATCGATACACTTGGCTACTCATTCATTGCAGCTGCAGCGCGAGCGGAAGTATAGAGAAGCGCATTTTATGTTTTGTAATAGTGTTGAATAAATAGAGATCTCCCGGTCTGCTGGGTAGGCGGATTTTGTCTTTTCAGACAAATGAAATGGTTAAAAATGGGAGCACTTTGCAGGGCTTCTGAATCAAGTACACCTACGGCCAACAGCACAACACGATAAAAAAGGATCGGAAGCCTTTGTTGCACAATTGGCCATGTGCAAAAAGTGAGTAAAAAACACCCTAAATATGTTTAGAACTACAAATGAACTTTCTTCTGTTGATTCTTGTTTTTTTTTTATGTCACAATTCCAACACTCCTCATTTATCCGGGCTTGGGACCGGCAAAAGTGACCCAAAAGAGACACCGGCGGAGTTACCCATGCACAAAGCGAGGTCCATACAGAAATGGTTTGTCGAGATCGGTGTGGAAGAACTTGACTGGCCTGCACAGAGCCCTGACCTCAACCCCATCGAAGACCTTCGGGATGAATTGGAACGCCAACTGCAAGCCAGGCCTAATCGCCCAACATCAGTGCCCGACCTCACTAATGCTCTTGTGGTTGAATGGAGGCAAGTCCCCGCAGCAATGTTCCAACATCTAGTGGAAAGCTTTCCCAGAAGAGTGGAGGCTGTTATAGCAGTAAAGCGGGGACCAACTCCATATTAATGCCCATGATTTTGAAATTAGATGTTTGACGAGCAGGTGTCCACATACTTTTGGTCATAAATCTGCAATAAAAAGTATAAAATGTAGCTCTGGTAATATGGGTCATATTTGAACGGTTTGGGCTAGAGCAGGGGTCTCCAACCTTTTCTTTCATAAGAGCTACTTAATACAAAATAATAATAATTGCGAGCTACTCATATATAGCCGGCATATTTTGTTATTGTGAAGGCCTAATTTGATGAATAGAAACAAGCACTGCATACATAATGTATTCTGTTTTTGAGTTCTTAAAACCACACACTTTGAACAAAAATCATTCTACTGTAGCCTACCTTGAGAATCTTGTTTTTGCATTTTACCAAATCTGCAACCTGCAGTTGCAGGACTAAGCTATTATAAATTATTTTTCCAATTACTTTTTAAATTGTCATTCTCTTTAATAGTGGCCTTTTAAGGTGAGGCACCACACGCTAATAGGGTCATTTTTTTATGTCAATCATATCACAATCAACTTTTACCAGTTGAATGTAGACAGAAATAAAATCCTTGTTATACTTTATTGTATTAACATTTTCCAGAAATGGTCAGCCCCTCCTCTTCAGTGCTCCACTCGCTGCGCACGGTTGATCTGTATCCTCCGCCCGTGGTTTGTCGTACTTGTGTTTTGTTAGCATTACACTACGACTCTGTGTGCATCCATTTGTATGGTGGCTCTTGCTGCCACAAACTGTAATTTACCTTACACAACTTGCCGACTGGCTTGTTCTATGTGTGTGTTGTGAATTGCTTTAACATTATCCTGCAGGGTTTTTTCTAGTTCTTTCCCCTGCAGAGTGTAAGAGTATCTTGGTGGGTTTCCACTACGTTGAGACATTAATTTTGGAGTTCCTTAACGGAGTTACTCCATCATATGGGGCTGTTTTTCCTGCTTGGATATTAAAATAGGTAATATTGCAGCTGCCGTAAAACAAAAAAAACAAATAAATCAAATCCAATACCTGGTTGCTGTTTCCGTACCAAGGGCAGGTCGGCCAGCGGCTGTTGGCTACCCCCTTGGAGCGGCAGGCACATCAATACACTAGAGCTCCGAGCTGTACTGCTGGCCCTGCGGTCTTTCCTTCCAAATCTGAAAGGAAGACATGTCCTGGTGAGAACAGACAACACCACAGTGGTGGCTTACATCAACCATCAGGGTGGACTGAGGTCCCACTGCCTCCATCTTATGGCAAGGAAGCTCCTTCTCTGGGCTCAGGGACGTCTAGCGTCTCTACGCGCAGCCTACGTACCTGACATCCTGAATGCGGCAGCGGATATGCTGGATGGCGGAGCATCGTCTGCTGCTGGTGGCCCCATACTGGCCCAGACGACCCTGGTTCAGACTTCTCCTGTCCCTGTTGTCTGGGACACCTTGGGAACTGCCCCTGAGACCCGACCTGCTGTCTCAGGCCGGGGGAACACTGTGGCATCCGAGACCGCACCGCCTCAGTCTGTGGGCTTGGCCGCTGAGCGGCACCAATGGTCCATGTTAGGACTACAGGAGGGTGTAAGGAACACTATGCAGAGCGCAAGGGCACCGGCTACAACCACGGCATATCAGTTGCGCTGGCGGTTGTTCTGCTCTTGGTGCACTGGTATTGAGGTTGTGCCCGAATCATGCGGGGTGCAGTATGTCCTCCAATACCTGCAGTCTCGCTTGGATGAGGGCTTGGCAGCCTCTACACTGAGAGGGTATTTGGCCGCTATATCTACCTGCCATGTGGGGTGGATGGACAGGCCAGTGGGGCACCATCCCTTGGTCTCCAGGTTTATGAAGGGAGTTTATCGCATGCGTCCAGCTAGGACCCTGCTCAATGGCGAGGACGGATGGACCCCGGTGGGAGGAGTATATCTCTCCACCCCAACCCTTCATTCCTCCCGAAGGTTCTGTCAGACAGGCATGTGAACATCCCTTTTATCCTGTCTGCTTACGACCCCCTGGCAGCGGCGGGGGAGTCTGGGCCTCCCTCCAGCATGCTGTGCCCTGTGCGGGCACTGGCTGCCTATGTGGAGTGGACACGGTCAGTGAGAACAACAGACCAGCTCTTTGTCTGCTATGGTGAGAGAGTCCTGGGGGCTGGGCTATCAAAGCAGAGGCTCTCTCACTGGATCGTGGACACGATTATGACAGCATACCGCCTGGCTGGCAGGCCAGTTCTAGGATCTGTGGTGGCACATTCAACACGAGGTGTGACTGCATCCTGGGCTCTACTGAGAGGAGTGCCCCTCGCTGATATCTGTGCTGCGGCCAGCTGGGCTTCCTCTTGCACCTTTGCTTGGTACTATCGGGTAAATGTGGCACCTCCCTCTGCGGTTGGTTCAGCGGTCCTGGGCGTCACCTCCCCTTCCGGGGACTGTGCCTGGACCCCCCTTCCACATTGACGGCCCCTGCGTCTCTGTTCCACGCTGGGACTTGGCCGCTGGCTGGCCAGGTCCCTCTAGCACCGACTAAATCTGGTAAGGGTATACCAATATATTGGAGTGATCCAATATAGTGAAACATAACGAAGGTTACGTATGTAACCACGGTTATGTGAGCTATATGGATCACTCCAATCCTCTACGGTGTTAGAGGCGCCTCAAAAATGATGTAGAGAACGTGTGTCGCGGTCATGGGGTCTATATATAGGGGCGGACCCCAGCCGTGACACAGGTGTACATGGGAGTAAATCTGTAAATCCTCACCTCGGATGTATCCCTCCGCCACAGAGTGATACCAATATATTGGAGTGATCCATATAGCTCACATAACCGTGGTTACATACGTAACCTTCATTCTTACAGGCAAAGTGAAATGACAAAATGTGCTTGTGGTGCCCGCAGGTCAAATGATATGTAACAACACCATGAAACAAAATACAAATGTAACAAGAGCACAACAAAATAGATACAAACAATTATTTTGCAGGTGCCTTTTCATTTTAAACACGAGTGGTGGAACTAGTGCTTTCTAACGGCACTGAAACAAACAGGGGCGCGGGAGCGAAGCAACACTTTAGAGTGGGCAAAACCATTCATCTTGAGGCGACTGGGGAGGGGCTGCAAAATGCAATCTGTTAATTATTATATATACTTAACAAAAATATAAACACAACATGCAACAATTTCAAAGATTTTACTGAGTTACAGTTCATAGAAAGAAATCAGTCAATTGAAGTAAATTCATTAGGCCCTAATCTATGGATTTCATAGCCCACCCACTTGGGAGCCAGGTCCAGCCAATCATAATGATTTTTTTCCTACAAAAGGGCTTTATTACAGACAGAAATACTCCTCAGCACCCCTGTTCCCCCTCCTCAGACGATCCCGCAGGTGAAGAAGCTGGATGTGGAGGTCCTGGGCTGGCGTGGTTACACGTGGTCTGCGGGTGTGAGGCCGGTTGGACGTACTGCCAAATTCTCTAAAAATATGTTGGAGGCGGCTTATGGTAGAGAAATTAACATTCAATTATCTGGCAACATTTCTGGTGGACATTCCTGCAGTCAGTGGGCCAATTGCACGCTCCCTCAAAACTTGAGACATCTGTGGCATTGTGTTGTGTGACAAACCTGCACATTTTAGAGTGGCCTTTTATTGTCCCCAGCACAAGGTGCACCTGTGTAATGATCTTGCTGTTTAATTAGCTTCTTAGCAAAGGAGAAATGCTCACTAACAGAGATGTAAACAAATTTGTGTACAAAATTTGAGAGAAATAAGCTTTTTGTGCATATGGAACATTTCTGAGATCTTTTATTTCAGCACATGAAAAATGGGACCAACACTTTACATGTGTTTGTATTTTTGTTCAGTATATACAATATATAATATATAAAATGGACATATCTATTTTAATACGGACTAGCTCAAATCATTACTAATCCTTGAAAATGACAAATTACCCAATGGACCATGATACTTTTCTGGTTGAAAAGTGGGGGTGCAAAAACTAAATTTGCTCCATTGCTCAGGCACCTATGAGTATGCAGCTTTCAGATTTTACTGGATGGTGGGGAACTTGCAGCATGATATTGCCCACACTAGTCTCTATTTAAGACTCACCTTGTGGTCCATCGGTCCAGGTCCAGGCACCCATTTAGTCAAACCCTGCAGGGGTTACACCGCTTGGTTTCGATTTCACCTAGAAAACAGAATGCTACAATTAGAATCTGTGCCATCTGTAACTAGACACTTTGAAATGTATTCACTAAATTCATACGCTCCGGTATTCACTACATTTACTTGTGGTCTGGTTGTGTACAACACTATGTAGAATAACATCCTCAGTCCACATAATTCCCTCTAAGATCTCAGATACTTTTCAGTCCGACCTTAGGGACCATCAAAATCTCTCCGTTTCCCATGTGAGAGCAGAGCAGATTTGCCCAGTTATAGAGTGTGATGATGAAGGGGATTCCCCAGAGAGAGGTTTTGTTGGGAAGCGTTCTCAGAGGACATTATTCTAGATGATTGACTCAGGGGTCTATGCCATTAGGCTGTCAAAACTGTGAGAGATGCAGCCTGCCTGAGCAATGAAAATATATATATAATATTGAAACCAATGGTAGTGGTGAATCTGTGTGTGTCAGAGTTTATCTGTCCATGTATGTATAACTACGGCTCCATGTGTAAGGGCTTATTCATGTGTGTCTATGAGTGAGAGAGAATATACAGATTTTCCATTCGCCATCTCTCCCCTGACTTGAGTGCGGCCCCACCACCCAATACCAACTGTGCTACATTAGCTCCCTCCTGTGCCTATTCAGGGGTGCTGCTCCACTTACACACAGATCTAAGATCAATGTTCATAAGATTATTTATTTTTTTACTTCACATTCACTTTCAATCCAATAGGTTCATAATCTGGAGTTTATGTGGTGTAGGCTTATAATAACAATGATTCTAACTCATACCTGGCTGTTGAAGTGTTTAAAAATCTCCTCTGCTGGTCCATAGATATCTGCCATGTCAAATGTTGTCAGGCCGGCATCAACATAGGCTTGCATCACCTGCACTGAAATAGGAAAAGGGGTTTGATAAGAACTACTACAACAATACAAGTAGTGAGTAAAATAATGCAAATAAATAGGCAGCATCATAAAATATATATATATATATATATATATATATGTTGTCAGGCGGCATAATTATACAACGGGTGGTTCGAGCCCTGAATGCTGATTGGCTGAAAGCCGTGGTATATCAGATCGTATACCATGGGTAAAATGACAATTTACTGGTCTAATTATGTTGGTAACCAGTTTATAATAGCAATAAGGCACCTCAGGGGTTTGCGTTGTGCCCTTAGACATGGTATATTGGCCATATATTGGCCATATACCACACCTCCTCGGGTCTTATTGCTTAATTACATAGTACCCATTTTCCCCCTTCATACTGTATGGAGAACAGGCCAACAGATGGTGTGGGACACTCACTCATGTAAGACAGACACGTTTGATCTGAACATTTTGGAGTGACCTATCACTTTAAGTTTACCTGCTTTGGGCTGATCAACCGGACCATGACCACCAGACACCTGCCGTTCAGGATGCGGCAGATCTCCAAGCCCCCTGCCAGCCTAACCTTGGGCACTTGAGCCATTCTAAGAGACCATGCGGGATAGTCACCACACTGCATTCCATACTCAGTTAAACCACTTTCTTGCCTATCTGTTGAACTGACATCATAACCAATAAAGAAAGTAGCTAGCTGGTTCATTTGATCTCTTTACATTCATCGTACGGTTGTTAATACGTCCAGCAGTTTAGCTGTTTTAACTCAAACGAAAAAATACAAAAGGGGTATGCAACATTTTGGACTCTGCGGGTTATGTACCTTTCTTTGCGATGTAATGTATGTGTAGTCCGTGTGCTAAATCTTTGTTACCACTAACTGTAATAAACAAAACATTACAAAACATTTTGGGCAGTTTACGCAAGGCTGATGGTTCTGTTCTCAATCAATGGTTGACTTTAACAGAGATCTGTATATAATGGCGAGATGCCCATGTCTCCGCCCTAACAATGGGAGTCGTTGTCCCAAAGGCGCGAAGGCAGGCGACAAGGACCACGTTTACACGCGCACAGTATTCCGAATAGTAGCTCATATCCCGCTTAAACTCATTCGGGATAAACTGTTTACATGTACATTTGATATCCCGCTCACGAGTATCCCTGTAACCATGAATAAACAAAATATTTCTAATCTAAGTTCATATGGGTTAAATGGAATAGTAACTGAAATCTGGACACTGACTGTAGGCCTATAACCTCTCACATATAGCCTAAAATAATATTAACTCCTGCAGAATTATGCATTTCTTGCAGTAGGCCTAAAATTTTACAACACATGTTAATTTTTTCTCGGGAACTGGAGTGGAGAAATATGATTTCTTTATTTCAGTATCTCTTGAAAAAATGCAAGTACAGGTGTAACTTATCTTTGACACTGTTGTGCAAGTACAGTATTTCAACCACATAAAATATGCACCAAAGTCAAACTAAAGTCTTATCAGAAACGTGTTTCTCGGCTTTTAATTATTCCTTACAACCGGTCAACCTGATGACATTTTGCATGGGAACAATCTTTCCACTGTTTTGGAGTTATTGCGTTTTCTCCCGGGTCCCTAAACAAAACAGACAACTTTACCGGTGTTAACTAGATTACCAATGCATTCATTCTATCGATGTAAAACATTATTCTGGTGAGCACTACTTTACTTAGTCTTCTAGGCAACAAGTTATGACAGAAGAGAAGCTGCATGTATCTAACTATAGATTACAAACAAATGGCCTACCAAATGTCAGAAATTATAAGCAGAAATATATCTATATAAATTAGGAGTGAAAGTAGCCTAAACCAGACCAGTAGGCTACGGTGTATCAGCAAAATAAATTATGGAATTATTATGGTGGATCGAACTGCCCAGGTATAGCCTACCTTTTTAAGTGATTTGTTTGACAATCAGATGAAAACATCATCACACAACACACATAATATGCAAAACTGAGCCCGTATAACCGTGAAAAACAACAATAAACGGGCGGGCATTTTACCCAAGTTTCTCATAACGTGGATACAAGCTTTTTCTGCTTATTGTAAACGGGATATTACATTTACATTTACATTTACGTTATTTAGCAGACGCTCTTATCCAGAGCGACTTACAAATTGGTGCATTCACCTTATGATAGCTAGTGGGACAACCACTTAACAAATGTTATTTTCTTTTTCTTATTTTTTTTGTCAATATTTTAGTAATACATTTTTTTCATCTCTTTTGTCTTTTATATATACATTTTTTCCCCTAATTTTTTTATTTGTTATTTTTAGAGTATTTTTTAAAATTTTCATTTGTTTTATATATATATATATATATATATATATATATATATATATTTTTTTTTTTTGTGGGGGTGGGGTGGGGTGGGGGGGTAGAAGGATTATTTTTATACTATCCCAGGTATTCCTTAAAGAGATAGGGTTTCAAGTGTCTCCGGAAGGTGGTCAGGTGACTCCGCTGTCCTGGCGTCGTGAGGGAGCTTGTTCCACCATTGGATATGATGTTTATATGTGTCAACTCAAAAACATAATACTTGAGTATCCCGAATAATAACGGGATACTGGTGGGCATGTAAACGTGGTCAAGTTTAGGTCCAAAATAAGCCAATATAAACGCAATGTGCTTATTTTGGACAGATTTTGTCGAGTGAAACCTCTCGCCTCGCCTCTTCCTCTCTGGCTTTATCCCAGGAACGTTCAGAGCGCGCGAGTGACTGCCCTCTGGAGGTTGATAGCAACCTGCTGTCAATAATAGTGTACTCTACTATGCTGTACAGTCGTGGTCAAAAGTTTTGAGAATGACACAAGTATTGGTCTTCACAAAGTTTGCTGCTTCAGTGTTTTTAGATATTTGTGTCAAGATGTTACTATGGTATACTGAAGTATAATTACAAGCATTCCATAAGTGTCAAAGGCTTTTATTGACAATTACATTAAGTTTATGCAAAGAGTCAATATTTGCAGTGTTGAACCTTCTTTTTCAAGACCTCTGCAATCCGCCCTGGCATGCTGTCAATTAACATCTGGGCCACATCCTGACTGATGGCAGCCCGTTCTTGCATAATCAATGCTTGGAGTTTGTCAGAATTTGTGGGTTTTTGTTTGTCCACCCGCCTCTTGAGGATTGACCACAAGTTCTCAATGGGATTAAGGTCTGGGGAGTTTCCTGGCCATGGACCCAAAATGTCGATGTTTTGTTCCCCCGAGCCACTTAGTTATCACGTTTTGCCTTATGGCAAGGTGCTCCATCATGCTGGAAAAGGCATTGTTCGTCACCAAACTGTTCTTGGATGGTTGGGAGAAGTTGCTCTCGGAGGATGTGTTGGTACCATTCTTTATTCATGGACTGTGTACTTAGGCAAAATTGTGAGTGAGCCCCACTCCCTTGGCTGAGAAGCAACCCCACACATGAATGGTCTCAGGATGCTTTACTGTTGGCATGACACAGGACTGATGGTAGCGCTCACCTTGTCTTCTACGGACAAGGTGTTTTCCGGATGCCCCAAACAATCGGAAAGGGGATTCATCAGAGAAAATGACTTTACCCCAGTCCTCAGCAGTTCAATCCCTGTACCTTTTGCAGAATATCAGTCTGTCCCTGCCTGATGTTTTTCCTGGAAAGAAGTGGCTTCCTCGCTGCCCTTCTTGACACCAGGCCATCCTCCAAAAGTCTTCGCCTCACTGTGTGTGCAGATGCACTCACACCTGCCTGCTGCCATTCCTGAGCAAGCTCTGCACTGGTGGTGCCCCGATCCCGCAGCTGAATCAACTTTAGGAGACGGTCCTGGCGCTTGCTGGACTTTCTTGGGCGCCCTGACGTCTTCTTCACAACAATTGAACCTCTCTCCTTGATGATCCGAAAAATGGTTGATTTAGGTGCAATCTTACTAGCAGCAATATCCTTGCCTGTGAATACCTTTTTGTGCAAAGCAATGATGACGACACGTGTTTCCTTGCAGGTAACCATGGTTAACAGAGGAAGAACAATGATTTCAAGCACCACCCTCCTTTTAAAGCTTCCAGTCTGTTATTCTAACTCAATCAGCATGACAGAGTGATCTCCAGCCTTGTCCTTGTCAACACTCTCACCTGTGTTAACGAGAGAATCACTGACATGATGTCAGCTGGTCCTTTTGTGGCAGGGCTGAAATGCAATGGAAATGTTTTTTTGGGATTAAGTTCATTTTCATGGCAAAGAGGGACTTTGCAATTAATTGCAATTCATCTGATCACTCTTCATAACATTCTGGAGTATATGCAAATTGCCATCATAAAAACTGAGGCAGCAGACTTTGTGAAAATTAATATTTGTGTCATTCTCAAAACTTTTGACCACAACTGTACACAACCTTTAGATGTGCATTATTCAGTAGGCATTTGTACATAATTCTTATGCAGACAAAACAAAAATGAGAACCTGAAACTAAAAAAAAAATACAGAAAAATTGAATGTCTTTATTTTCCATACAATTCAGCCCAACTAAAGATAGTTGTTTGTGAGAGAAAAGGCAATTGGACACAGTACTATATGGAGGTTCAGAAAGCATTACCAGTAGTTCATTAAATATCGAGGGGGTTGCATTTGTTTAACACAATCCCCCCCAAAATAAGACCAACATTTTAAAAATCCAAATCCATCAAATTACATGATTGGAGTAAATTGCATACATTCAAGGCATTGTTAGTTTCAAGCGAGTAGAATAAATACATGGAGAACTTACAGTTGTGTGGATATTCTGATAAATTGTAGTCTTAGAAAATGAGAAAATGATTTATTCACAAAATTAATAAGAATAAAGAATGTAATAGTGACCTTTCCAGACAATCTCGGGGACTGCCGGACTAATACATAGGCTAGGGCAAGGAAAACACTAACTGCTTGACCCAGTTGCATACATTTATATAGGCATCTTACTCTGTCATTATGCATCATTAGTTAACAAAAACTGCCCCCACAGGTTGTCTGTACTGTACATTCAAATTCTATACTGCACATTCAAATTCAATTCTTAGGGAATTGTTTTATTTAAATAAGTACACTTACAACTGACATAGAAATGATCACTCATTCCTTGCAGATACAAATTAACATATTTGTGCAGCTTCAAAAGAAAAGCAGTTTATCAATCTACTATTCCAACACTACTTGCTATGCGATTAGTCCCCAAGTAAGAGTTCACAGTGAAAAGCAACTGAAACCTCAAAGTTGTAGAAATATGAAGAGGTAGAGAAAAGTGCATCTTTCTATTTGTGAAATATGTCAACAAAATGTAGAAGACCTGTTTACAGTAATATATGCAAACAATGTCCATTGATTGAAAGTTGTGTTTGACCAAACAAATCAGAAAAACAACACCATTCAATTACCTCAATTGTCACTGTATAACACAGGTTCCCTGTATGCTACATGATCCTTAAAGCGGCAATCGGCAGTAGAAACAATAAGAAAGTATTCTAGAGAAAAGTAACCACTCTCAAATTCATAGACAGAGCTAAGGATGCAAGGACTGACCATCCATTATATAAAAATTAAAGTTTTAGAGTAAAACAAGCTTATATGTTGGGTTCTGATGGGGTACGGCAGTTGAACTAAGCTCACGAGGCATTTATACGTTATATTCTTCATGAATCAATGGGTACATATAATTTATGTATAAGTCCAAAAATGGCTGTAGCAACTGCTGATTGCCCCTTTAAAGAAGATGCCAAATAAGAAGTAGTAACTACAGTAGGTAATGAAAAAAAATGCTTATGTAGAAAATTACATTTCTGATATCTGTTTGCAGATTCAAACTCCAAACACAAAAAGTAAAGAAACATTTCCAGGATACACTCAAAGATAATTGGCCATTATTACAAGGTGTACCAAACATGTTCTTTCCTAATTTTTTCCATGATAACTACAATTTATGAACTTCATAATTACAAAAATAACATTATTATTAGAGGTATTATTTCTGTTGTGTTACATTTCTTGACATGACATCACTCAGCCCTCAAAGTTCAAACCTTGGTGTGCAGGTTTTTGTCCCGGCTCATTGTTCAATCATATAAACTTGGATGACAATTGAGTAACAGATTAGGGTAAGAGACCCTGCACACACAGGACTGATAATGAGATATATAGTATGACAGTAGCAGGCACTGTGTTCAGCATGTCTATTGTTTAGTGGAGCCATTGGAATTGGACCTCCCATCTTTCCCCCTCAGGGACTCCCTGTAGAGCAGCAGCCTCTCGGTGGTGTGAGGGGGCAGCCGGCTCCTCTTGGCCCTGACGATGCAGGACGCCATGGGGAAGAGTCGGTCAAAGCCGCCTGAGGTGGCAGGCACAGCCAGCAGCTTCCTGGCTGCCCTCTGGAGCTGGGGAAACCGTGAGGCGTCTCTCCAGAAAACCTGGGTGGAGCCGTCCCCATCCATCACAGGCTCTGACAAGTACTGGTCTAGCTCAGACAGCTTCATGCTCTTGGCCGCAGGCTGGAGGAAACTGAAGATGGACTTGCGCTTGAGGTTGCCGCTGCCACTGTTAGAGCTGGAGGCCTCAGAGTCCTCCTGGCTCTCTTCACTCTCCTCCTGCTTCACCGGTTTCCAGGAATCCATGTCGCTGACCGACGACTTGACCAGCGTTCGGACCTGTAACTTGGAGGGGGCGGCCAGGGAGGCAGCGTCCCCCTCCTGCTTGGCGTCATCGAAGGGCTGGAGCTTAATGCGGGGGTCCAGCACCGTGACCAGGATCAGGTCCCTCTGCAGGATGAGGGGCTGGAAGTGTGTGTGCAGGCCGGAGCGGAGCCCCTTGGAGAAGTGGCTGTAGTTGGTGGAGCGGGTCTCCAGGGTCTTGTCCAGGCCGATCAGGGAGGGGATGATGAGAGAGAAGGTGACGGCATCGCTCTGCAGCACCTGGATGGCCTCCTCGAAGGGCTCGAGCAGGCCGATAATGTCCACCACCTGCTCCCGCTTGGCCCTCACCATGGGCGGGGAGCTGGACGAGTCCTTCGCCTCAATGCGGGCCTGGGCAAGCAGGGTCATGACTGAGCCCCACACCGCCTCCTGCACCATCCGCCGCATCGACACAAAGGTGGAATTCCAGCGGCAGCTGCCGGGTGAGGGGGCCAGTGACAGGCCACACTCCTTCAGCAGCACCTCGTTCCAGTAGGCGCTGCGGCGGAAGAAGGCCACCACGTTGTGCACCTGGGACAGCAGGTTCTCCACCACGCGAGAGTTCTTCAGAGCCTCTTTGATCACCAGCTGCAGCATGTTGGCGACACAGCCCACGCGCGTGCCAAACTGGATCTCTGAGAAGTCCTCTGTGGGCATCTGGTCACCCAGGAAGGCTAGCATCTCCTCCTCGTCCGGGTCGCCCCTCTGAGATGAGCACATGATCCTATAGTCGCAGAAGAGGTCGTAGGCAGCGATGGTGTGCTTGGCCTCGTTGGTGATGATGTAACCCAGGTTGTTGGGGAACAGGCCGTAGCTCAGCAGCACGGCTTCCAGCTCCCGGGCCATGGCCACGTTCATGTTCTTGTGGCCGATGTGGCGGAAGGCCACGGTGGGCCGGTGGATGTGCCAGTCGTCATCCAGGAAGTGCAGCTGCACGGCGACAATAGGGTCGGCGTAGGGGCTGGCCCAGAGGTCCAGGGTGGCGTGGACAACGGCATCGCCCGCGCTGGCAGCCAAGCAGGTCTTCAGGTCGCGGATCAGATGGGGCTTGATTGCCTTCTCCACGTCGTCGTACAGCCGGAGGCCCACGGCACGCTGGGACAGCCTCTGATACTGGGGGCCGATCACAGACATGAAGCTCCTGAAGCCTGAGCCCTCCACGAAGCTGAGGGGCAGCATGTCCTCCGCTATCATCCGCAGTACGGCCTCTGTGATGCTCTTCTGGCGGGACTGGTGGAGCGTGGGGACGCCGCCGGAGCTAGAGCAGGGGTTGTTGGAGTCCCTCTTGGCTAAGACAGGCGGGAACACCACCGTCTTTGACCTGACTGGGTGAGAGTCCTTTTTTGGCCTAATTTTTAGCATGGGGGCTATAGCCTCTCTATATTGCCTCATCTACAAAGAACAAAGAGAATGGGTGAAAAGGGTTGAACGTTTCAAGATTATTGTGTGAAAAAATGCTCAACAGGCTCAATTTGGTTAGTGATAGTAATACTTTATGCCTGATAGGAGGATAACAGAACACATTACACATCCCTTCTGATAGGTCTCCCACAGACATAGGTGAGTATGTGCAAATATAGAAAGAGTCAAGGATATGGCATTCTTACCACCTCTGGAGGTTCAGGCTCCGAGTCCAAAACAACGTCACAACGAAAATCTACCTGTAAGCAAAGATAACATTACATTTGACATTTTTGTCATTTAGCAGACGCTGTTATCCAGAGCGACTTACAGTAGTGAGTGCATACATTTTCGTACTTGTCCCCCGGGGGAATTGAACCCACAAACCTGTCGTTGCAAGCGCCATGCTCTACCAACTATTTACCAACCTAAGTTGGAAAACAACCACAATTTCCCTTGTTTACACTAACAGCATAACAGGGTGCCTGTTTGTATTTGAGGAATACAAAGACCTGACCTCACCCTGTCCCAGAGTAGTGGGTGGTGGGTTAGGTGAAACATTGTGCTTGTTAGTATGTGAAGAATACAAAGGACTGACCTCGCCCTGCTCCAGAGTAGTGGGTAGTAGTGGGCTCCCGTCATCATCCATAACATATGCTCCCATCTCTGCTTTACGTTTGATGGTTGAGTTCCAGTGGTTTTTCACAGCATTGTCCGTCCTGTCAAGAGGTAGAAAAGCTGTGTGTCATTCCTGGAGTGCAAAACTACACTATGACCTTCTATTCAAATTGACCAGTAAATTGGAGATGTCATTGTTAAATTAATCAAATCATACAAATCCTGTTAGGTCGCATTCAGATCCTGTTTCATAGCATTTGGCAGGGTTCGACATTAATTATGATTAAGGGCGCAGTGGTCTAAGTCATCCAGGCTCTGTCGTAGCCGCCCGTGACCGGGAGACCCATAGGGCGGCGCACAATTGGCCCAGCGTCGTCCAGGGTAGGGGAGGGAATGGCCGGCAGGGATGTAGCTCAGTTGGTAGAGCATGGCGTTTGCAACGCCAGGGTTGTGGGTTCGTTTCCCACGGGGGGCCAGTATGCAAAATAAAAAAATAATAATGTATGCACTCACTAACTGTAAGTCGCTCTGGAAGGGCTAAGACTAAAATGTAAATGTATTAATGATGTCACCCGGGCCAGTACAAACATGTCTGGGCCAGTAGATCTCTACAGTCACTGGCTCAATCAGGCCAAAAACTTTTCTGCGTATTTTGGCATTTCAGTTCGAGATTTCCATGCGCTGCTGTGGTCTTCCATTAAAACTAGTGGGGCCGCATCGCATTCAGCACCACACTGTTGGAAATATGCGTAAAAGTTGTGCTATTGGAGCAATATGATTAGCCGTTCATTCGAGCACCACCAAGAGTCACAACTACTTCTTGAAATCAAAGCACAGCATAACTAGTTAAATATTACTAGACTTAGCTAAAATTATTAACTATATGTTGGTAGATTTTGGTTATAATAAATATAATAATAATAAGAGTGACTTGCATTCAGAAACAACTTGCGGGTTTTCACATTTCTAGCGAAGTGAGTTGATGTGTTCAAAAGCTAGCTGTGCAGAGCAAAATACAGTTCTTAAAGGGGCAACGGCATCTTAAACCTAGTATCCTTACTTGAAACAATAACAAAGCGGTCACCCCACATCTAATTTGGTAAAAAGCTCAGGGATGGGCCTTCAGAAATGTAACCACTCAAGACAGAGCTATGGATGCAAGGACTGACCATCCATGATATCAAAATTATAGTTTTAACCATGTTTTGAGGCTATACAGTGTTTGTTTACACTTACCTTGTTTATAAATATTGGAGTAAAACAAGCTTATATTTTGGGTTTTGATGGGTTACGACAGTTGCACTAAGCTCATGAGGCATTTATAAGATACAGTATATTCTTCAAGAATCAATTGGTATACATCCAAAAACGGAGGTAGCAACTAAGGACTAGCTTTAAAAAGATAATGACATACTTCGTAATAGAAACATGAAAAATGAATTCTACAATGCAATTTGAAAGTTAGCTGCCATGTCTGTTTGCGAAATTACAACAACAAAGACCTTACTTCAAACAACGAACACCATCTTTTCCCCTGTCGGACATCATTGCACAAGTGATCGAACAGCAGAGTATGTGCAACTTTTTAACCTTGATGCTGGAGATCCTCTCCTCCGTTTAATAAACAAAACAATAACAAATGCGCCTGGGGGCGGCCAGTGGCGCCTTTTACCCTAATGCAGATCTCAGCTTTAAAGAATAAAGTAATGATTTGCATTAACAATTTATATTACGCAGATTTTAATACTTACCATACTCAAATGTTGCCTATTCGTAGTTGAATAACAGAGAGACAGCACGCTAACCTATGGGCCCTGCATGACCCTAATGTATTTAATCTACCACAGGTCCAGGTCAGTAGTTAACATGGAACCCTGCTGTGGTCAGTTACCTTCCAGGTAGAAGCTTGGCGATCTCCGCCCAGCGGTTCCCGAGGACACAGTGGGCTTTGTAGATGATCAGGTCCTCCTCTGGGGTCCATGAGGACTTCTTCACGTCCGGGTTGAGGTGGTTGTGCCAGCGCTCCCTGCACTGCTTCCCCTGGCGACCCTTCAGGTGCCTGGCCACCATTGCCCACTGCTTGGTCCCATATTTACTCACCAGCTCAATGACCTACAGAGAGGAACAAGGATAAAAGTGTATAGTATCTATAAGCTGGAAGTAGAGGCCTAAGCATTGTTGTTTACTAGTTTACTCCAATTAGGGAAGGGGTGGTGGGGTTGGAAAGTAATAAAGGGAAATATATTTTTTTAAAGGATATGTATATATATATTTGCGGGGGGGGGAACATGGGGATTGGAAGTGATGCAGACAATTACATTGATGGAAGTTACAATCTATCTGCAATAATAAAGCTGATATACCCCCTAAAGAAAAAAGGGATGGATAACTAATCTATATATGTCTGTATAATGGCATTTGTTTTTCATTGCTCACCTTGTCATCCTCCTCCTTGGTCCAAGTCCCCTTGATTAAATCTGGATCTAGAGCCTTCATATAGCGGTGCATACATTGATACTCTGTTCGTCCCTATAAGAAATCTACTTTAGTATCAATCCTAATAGAAAAAAATAGGACTAGAATTATCTTCTACAATTCAGCCATATAGCCTGTGCTATATCTATCCCCAATACCCACTGGTAGGAAGCTGGCGATAGCTGTCCAGTCACTATTTCCAAAGTTGTTCACCAGGATCTTTAGATTCTCATCCTGCCAGTACAAGAGAAAAACAACTTAGAGAACATACCACTACACCTGCTAAGTACTTAGAGCAGCAATTATTCTATTTTTCCTTCATAGCACTTTTAGGTCAGGCGAGCCTCTGGTTAGTGTTCAGTTTACAGAGGACAGTATACAAGTAAAAGAGGCCATTTTAGAGTTATGGCACAAGGCCCAGAGTTCAGTCCAGATCAATCACTCACCTCCTCATGTGTCCACTTCACTTTAACTTTATAACTCTCCCGCTGTTCCGCCACATCAGAGTCTGTGTCAACACACAGCATTTCATCTCCATCTTCACTCTGCATGCTGCAAATAAACAGGTAGAAACTGATGAGAAGGGGTGCGTTCCTCTGCCCAGGCATTGCTGACGCATGCCAGATTTTACAATGCCTGGATAGGTAAGTATTTTAATTATCAGCTAACTACATCGTATGTTATAGCAATCTAGTGCCCGATGGCAGCCGATAACGTGGCACGCAACCATTGGTTGATGCATTAGAAGGTCTGAGCATGGGAACGCAGCCAAGAAGAGACCAGAGGCAGGCATACAACCCTTGCACACCTGGATTTTATGGAATTTGATGTTTGAGTGAGACATGGATGTGCCCCTCAATTACAAAGTTCCTACACAGCTGCCATCACTTAGTCTACTCATACCAGCTACTTTATTGACCTGAACCTATTACATGTGAGCACTGTACACTTGAACTGTTAGAGAAGTCTTTACTTTTTATGACAGTATCCTCTCTACCACAAGGTTGATAAATCCGTTTGGCCATTCAGAACGCTAATCCTATTACCTGTCTCTTACACATTGTGATGTCCAATAGGGTGCTGTACCCAATGAAGGTTGGTACAGCGCCGAAATTCAGCCTGAGCCTGTCAACAAAACCAGCCTTCCACTTGTGGTATCTCTCATAATCGTTCGGGACAAAATTAACAACACATATGGTTGTAACGCCTGGTGTTCCCCTAACAAAGGCAGGCCGGCTGATTCTGACATAGTTGTAATACTTCTTACAATACTCCAAGTCCTTCGGCCAAAAGTAAAAAGTAACCCGGTCCCTATCCTTAAAAGTGCACTCTTTAACAATACAAGGCCTAGTCATTTCTACCATTTTAAAAGCTATTTCGACTAAAAAAAATCGAACAAACTACACTACTACAGCCCTAGTACCCCATGCGCGTCTGTGGGTTGCAACAAAAGGTGGCAACATGAAATACAAAATTCCAATGCATGTGCTTCAAATTGCGCAACCTTGTAACAAGTTGGTGTTCACATACAATGAATGTAACGAATTCCTGAGGCCCACCCCAACAGTCTTGGAAATAATGTAGTTAGCTAGCTAGCTAATCAACAAACTACTTGCTACTGCTGCGAACGATAAAGCCAACCTTTAATTTAGGCAAATCAATTTAGTAATATCTTCACCAATCAATACCATAATATACACCATGGTACTTAAAAGTTGATAGCTAAAGCTATAATTAGCAAATTGTTGCACTCTTACATGACAGAAAAACGTATTATTGACTGCAACTGGTGGTGAAGATGCCGGTAACGTTAACTAACGTGTCCAGCTAGCTAGCAAACAACTACTAGCCGACTACTGGCCACGATAACAACAACGGCTTCTAAACCGGCAATGGACTGTTACTGAACAGTTAGCTAGCGAGCTAGTTTCCGGCTCACAACCAAAATGCACACGAAGTCCAGTGAAAGTAAAACGACACAATGTACCAAGGCATTTTCGCTTTCTGGGATGCAGCCACAGTTCCAGGTTCTCGTGGAATAAGTTGATGCGCGTGGCTCCTTTTCACTACTGAATAAGATGAACCGTATGGCCCATTGGCTTACCCGCGCGGCCAACCGGACATTTCCCCTCAGCTTCTTGGAGTGTCCAGCAAACCTCCCAAACCCAACTGTCGCGGCCTTGCCTCACAGTCCCGTACGTTCAACCGACACGGAACTCTAACCGTAACAAAAAAACTCTTAAATTACAATACTTTGCAAGTAAAGTAGCTAGACTATAGAAAACGAATCCACCAGACTCATGCGTTTCAGTTTCTATCTCGCGCCTAGCGCATTTTAGTTGCAGATTTTTCCCGGGAACCGGTAAGGAAGAAGGGTATGTTCAAGACCATCAACGCTCTCCGGAAACAACGCATTTGTTGAACTCGGAGATTTTGTCATAACGTTACATAATACCGAAAAGCAAGAGCGCAACTTTTTCCCCAACCTAAAGCTAATTTCCTGCATTTCTACGCAGTTTTAACATGACCCAGGCCCTTCTAACTAGTTATTTTTAGAACAGCAAAAATGGCCCCAGACACTCATCAAGCTAGGTAAGAGATCATTATTAAACATGCTTAAAGGGATAGTTCACCCAAGTTACAAAATGGCATATTGGTTTCCTTACCCTGTAAGCAGTCTATGGACAATGTATGACATCAATCCATGCTTTAGTTTAGATTCCCTGGCACTGTTTCCAAATGCTAACATTTTAGCATTTGTGGCACAAATCCCATTCAAGTCATGGGAACAATATTAGCATTTTTCGTGCATCATGTCCAAATCATCTAAAAGTATCTGAAATTGATTGTGAAGCTGGCCAAAGCCACTTATAAAAATGTGAACACAATGTGCAAAAAACACTAATATTGTTTGCATGACTTGAATGGGATTTGTGCCACAAATGCTAAAACGTTTTGAACGTACTTTGGTGCGAAAAGTGCAAATCAATCCCAGAACAACAGCAAAGGACCTTGTGAAGAAGCTGGAGGAAACAGGTACAAAAGTATCTATATCCACAGTAAAATGAGTCCTATATCGACATAACCTGAAAGGCCGCTCAGCAAGGAAGAAGCCACTGCTCAAAAACCGCCATAAAAAAGACAGACTACGGTTTGCAACTGCACATGGGGACAAATATCGTACTTTTTGGAGAAATGTCCTCTGGTCTGATGAAACAAAAATAGAACTGTTTGGCCATAATGACCATCGTTATGTTTGGAGGAAAAAGGGGGTTGCTTGCAAACCGAAGAAACACCATCCCAACCGTGACGCACGGGGGTGGCAGCATCATGCTGTGGGGGTGCTTTGCTGCAGGAGGGACTGGTGCACTTCACAAAATAGATGGCATCATGGGAAGGAAAATTATGTGGATATATTGAAGCAACATCTCAAGACATCAGTCAGGAAGTTAAAGCTTGGTCGCAAATGGGTCTTCCAAATGGGCAATGACCCCAAGCATACTTCCAAAGTTGTGGCAAAATGGCTTAAGGACAACAAAGTCAAGGTATTGGAGTGGGCCATCACAAAGCCCTGACCTCAATCCTATAGAAAATGTGTGGGCAGAACTGAAAAAGCGTGTGCGAGCAAGGAGGCCTACAAACCTGACTCAGTTACACCAGCTCTGTCAGGAGGAATGGGCCAAAATTCACCCAACTTATTGTAGGAAGCTTGTGGAAGGCTACCTGAAACGTTTGACCCAAGTTAAACAATTTAAAGGCAATGCTACCAAATACTAATTGAGTGTATGTAATCTTCTGACCCACTGGAAATGTGATGAAATAAATAAAATCTGAAATAAATCATTCTCTCTACTATTATTCGGACATTTCACATTCTTAAAATAAAGTGGTGACCCTAACTGACCTAAGACAGGGGATTTTTACTAGGATAAAATGTCAGGAATTGTGAAAAACTGACTTTAAATGTCTTTGGCTAAGGTGTATGTAAACTTCCAACTTCAACTGTATATATAGGTACATACATACTGAACATACAGTATGTGATTAACATGTCATTTCCATATTAAGATAAGATGTACTTTTTAAAAACTTGCAGAGTATGTAAAAGGCAGAATCTACCGCACACCCAAACCTGATTTGTGAAGATGCTGGAGGCAAAAGGCGAAACTGGAGAAACAGGGAAAAGTCTCAGAAAGCTCAGCTATAATTAAAATACATTTGCCTGGAAGTGTGCGAATACTTTTTCCTGTTTCTCCAAGCTTGCAGAGTATGGAAATGTGTCTTTATGCTCACAACCCAACCCCCCAAGACACACGCGCACACAGAGGGGCTGAAAGCAATGGGTCAGCCACAGTGCAGCGGGAGCAATTGTAGGGGGTTAAGTGCCTTGCTCAAGGGCACAACGGCAGGCAATGGTATCTAGGATGGTTTTCCCATCTGAGCTGGGATTTGAACTTGCAACCCTCTGGTTGCTGGCCTGCTTTTCTAACCGTTAGGCTACCTGCCGCCCCCACAACATTGTGCAACTGCTTTCACATTGTGCAACTCAATTGCAACTGCATCAACTGCCAGTTCTGAAATCCCTTCAGTGATAGTGAGATGTCCTGAGCCCTGGCCAGTGTTGTCATAAATATACGCTGTAGGTCTGTATATTACACATGTATTATTATACAGAATGATGTCAAGGGACCTGATTGGGTAGATAAATCCACTGTCAGTAACAGAGAGCTGTCCTGTCCTGTATTATAATGTTTTGTACTGTCCTGTGTCTGCCTGCGTGTTTCAGTTTCCAAGGAGAACCGGATGCTGATCCAAGCCCAGGAGCTGAAGGTTGAATACGGTAGTGGAATATTTTCATATCAAGTGAAGAAAGTGTCATAGCCAGTATACTATTTGTATGCCATATTATATAGTACACATTAAACCTGGATTGTCATTGATCTTGTAATATTTACTGTCTCTGTGTTTCTGCAGCTACTGTACGCTGACCACTACATTCAGTGTGTACGGGGCGTTCCTTCCTCACCCTTTGCCATCTAGTGTGGCACTGGGCATCTTCCTGGCCATCTTTGTGGTCCTGCTGCTCATCTGCTTTCTCCTCAGCCAGCGCGCTCACAAAAAAATAGGATGGACACACACTTTACACATTCAAAGGTTTTTTGTCAAACACACACCCAAAAACTCACTCACAATACATCCCAAAACAGGAAAACACACGCACGTCCTCTGAGCAGCGTGAAACGTGATGAGCTGTTCAGCATGTACTCTGTCAGTAAGTGATCTCTGTCTTGCCTTTTGTCATGTTTTTGATTAATTTAGAAACTGTTTTCAGTTTTAGGAACACATTTAGTTGATCAGAAATCTATTCTAGCAGGGCAGATATTGGAAATAAAACATTTGCAGAAAGCCTTTTTAGTGCTACCTTTGTATATTTTGCTTGTTTTGTTTGATGAAAATAAAATGTTGAGAAATAATCATTTCTTCATAGTTTTCGTTTCACACTTCAATCAGATGGAAAATCTATCAACGCAAGACACCGTAAACATATGGATAGTTATTTATTGTAACGTTTTTATGTACACATACTTGTAACTGTGCTTCATTGCGCATCAGTCACCTTTAACATGGTGCTGGCATAAGTCAACCGTCTTTAATGTCACCTGTTGTTTTGACACAATCATATGATTTGTTTCACATGGTTAATAACACCATGGTACACACCTTTACAGTTGTAAGAAGATGGCGTTAGTTTATGTTAAAGGGATAGCTCACCCACATTACAAAATGACACATTGGTTTCCTTACCTTGTAAGCAGTTTATGCTATAACAGCATCCCGTGCTTTGGTTTTATTTCCCTGGCGCGGTTTCCAAATGCTAAGGTTTTAGCATTTGTGGCACAAATCCCATCCAAGTCCTGGTACTGATATTAGCATTTTTCGCGCATCATGTTCAAATCATGAGAAAGTATCTAAAATTGATTGTGAAGCTCAACAAAGTCACTTATACATGATTTGAACCTGATGTGCGAAAAATGCTAATATCAGTACCAGGATTTGTGCCACAAATGCTAAAACTTTGGATGCCTGATGAAGACCTAAGGGTCGAAACTTAGTTTCAATAAAATCACCTGGGAGCATGAATAGCAGTGTGCAGTGTATTTTTTTAATTTATTTTAAATTTTTTATGAGTTCACCTATAACTCCTGCACCTGCAAAAAAGTACCTGTATGTGCGAATGTTCTTCAGCTTTTGTACATTTAGAAACAGTGGCAGGGAAATAAAACCAAAGCATCGATTGCTGTCATACCTTGTCCATAGACTGCTTATATCAGTACCATGACTGTGGCATTTGTGGCACAAATCCCATTCAAGTCATGGTACTGATATGCACATTTTCCACGCATGTTCGAATCATCTAGAATTGCCGTCAAACCTTGTCCATAGACTGCTGACAGGGGAAAGGAAACCAATAGGTAATTTTGTAATTTGGGTGAGCTATCCTTTAAGCATGCCTGGACGCAACAATAGAGTCAAGCCTCTAATCTACAAAAAGTCAGTGATAACAGAAACAGCATGTTTTCAAATCAATAATGTACAAAAATGTATTGTTTGACAATCATCACTTTTAATTCAAAATAACAAATGTTTGGAAAGTCCACCGTGTTTGTATTAAAAACAGCACTTAAAAGAGCAGAAATATGGTTTCGACTAGTTTCACACATATCATTTGTGCCTGCTGCGTCTGCCTGTTCTAATGTCTAGATAAACAGACGTGGCAGCCCCGTCCATAGCCTACACAAAAATGCATTCTGTTCATGTGCTCCATTTCTATGGCTGTGGCCAATGAAGTTGATAGAGGTTGCCACTAACTGATGAATCAAGGGCCAAATATATTTTTCTCCTCCTGACTTAGAGGTTAAGGTTAGGATTTGGGGTTGAGGAATTAAATCCTAGATGTGGTTAGGGGTATCTTCTACCTCGAGCTCAGGCAGTGGTGGTGCTGTGAGGGACCTCCCTCCCTGTCTTAGAGGAAGCGGTCTTCTTCACCACAGACGTAGGAGAAGCCATTGAAGGCGTTGGAGCTGCTGGTGCTGGCGTTGAGCTCAGGGGTGCGGCCCACCGAGTTAGACACCATCTCTCTGGTGAACTCTGGGTCTATGTGCTGCATGTCCGCTGGCCCTTTCTGGAGGAGAGAGGGGACATGTTAGGGAATGGAGGGAAGTGATAGAGAAAAGAGAGGGACAGAGTGAAGGTGAAAACGAGGAAAGAAAGGTAGTGAGAGAAAGTTTTAGAGAAAGAGACGTTAAGGTTAGAGAACATGGTAAGAAACAACCGGCATGTTATAAGCTAGGGGTCAGCAACAGGCAATTTATTTTGGCCCCCCAAAGTGGGGAGGGGGGGGGTTCGTTTTTGGTTAAAAAAAGTAAAATCCCCAGCAAATGTAGGAAATCTGTTCCCAACTATTTCCACAAATAAAAAAAAGAGATGTGATCGTGTCTCAATGTAATCAAGGTATGACATTTTTGTTATTTTCAAATACAATTTATTTTTGGGCTTAGTTGTGGTCAATCTGCTTTGTACAAATGATTATGTTCTGCCCCCCCGCCCCCCCGACCATCCGCTCCAACAACTCACCACATTGGGGTAGTATGGAGGAGTGATTCGCTTGTGGTACAGGTCATCCCAGTTAATCGGGGAGAAGAACACATGGTTCTTGATTTCTAACTGTAAAGTAAAACAAGAATACAAGATATAAGCAATGTATAACTGAATGAACATTAGTGAAACACAGTAACTGGCAAAGACATGGAGTGCTTCCGAAATGGTACAGAAGTACTGCACTATATTGGGCTTTGGGTGCCATTTCAGATGCAACTCATGGTCCATGGAGAGGGTCTAGTCAGCCACTCACAAAGTCGTCGATGGCTCCCAGCCTGCAGTGCTGGTCCTTCTGCAGGAGGCTCTGGAGCAGACTACAGACAGCGTCTGACTTCCCTGGGGGCAGCGGCAGAGGCTTGTGCAGGACGCCATCATGCATCTCAGACATGTCCCGGCTGTAAAAAGGAGGCTAGAAACGGAGTAGAACGGAGAAGAGACACACAGCGCTGTAGCAACCAGCTACTCCAGAAACATTTCCTGAAGTTGGTAACATAATTGTCTTGGACATTTGCTGCACATGTAAACAATATTTGGGTTGGCCTTAGATTGCGCTAAGTACAGTAGCTATATAAGATTCAAAAACTATTTTATTTTAGTATGATGTTTTTGGACAATACAAAACATACAAGCTCACACCCCTATCTCCAGCGCCCGCATCACTCTCCGCCACATGGTCTCAAACTGCTCCATTTTGTTTCTCTCCTTCATCCACACACTTTCAACATTTAGATAATAAAGCATTTGACCTTTCCATTGTGTTGATTTCCAGTTAAGTATACGTTTTTTCAAGATGATTGACGAGAAAAGTATCGTCCAACCCATCGGGTATCTCACTGCACCCTCATATGCCATGTCTTCAAATATGCAGACAGACGGAATAAAAGTACATTTACATTGTAATATTTCTGACAGACAACTTTCTAACTTCGCCCATAACTTTTGGACTTTATAACATTCCCAGAAGGCATGGATTATTGAGTCTTTGTTAGTTTTACAATTAAGACATGACTTTGCCGTTGTGCTGTAGAATTTGTGAATTTTGTCTCTTGTATAATACATTTTATACATTAGTTTATACTGGATTAAGCGTACATTTTCATTAACTGTAATTTCATTAGTTATGTTCCAACATTCCCTCCATCTTGTGCCAATATCAGTTATTTTTAAGTCTCGGTTTCAATAGTTTATATTTAGTTCTAAGAGACTGTTGGATAGGCTCTCTGCAAGGTTTTGTATAGCTTACCTATCATATGAATATCCTTTTCTGACTCAAATAGGATTCCCTCAAGATTGCTCTGATTCCTAATCAAAATGTCATGATATAAAACTTTTACGTTGCATATTTGAAAATATCTACATTGGTCAATCCAAAATTGCTTTTTAATCCTGTCATGGAAATAAATGTATTTCCTATTAGTCATTTACGATCTCTATGCCTTTAGTTTTCCATGTGGACCAATTTATCGGTGAATTCTTAAAAAACTATCCAAGGTTTGTTCCATAGGGTTGTGTTTTTAAGGGAGTGATATTGGTTCTTGTAGAATACGTTTCATTTTCTTCCATGTTGATATAGTGTTCTTAACTATGAAGTTGTTTATGTTCTTAGCTTTATCCTTTTAAAATAGACACATTCAAATATTATGTGGATGAGCATCTTCATTGTTCCTCTTTACCCATTGTTCATCTTTAGTACATTGAACTATATGTCGCTAGTAAAAGCCTTGGGTGGCTAAGATTCAAAAACGTACAAGACTATAGATCATCTCATAGAGCACAGCTCCCAGACACCACCAGTCCACCGTGCGGTCATAGGGCTCCTTACGCAGAATCTCAGGGGCCAAATACTACAGAGAGAGAGAGAGAGATAAATACACAGATGGATATATAGAGCTATAAGTGAATATTAGACATATGTTATCATTAACATATCATTGATCACAGACACAATCTCAGGCTATCCCTCACCTCAGGGGTTCCACAGAAAGTGGACGTGGTGGTCTCTGGCTCCACTCCCTCTTTACACAGCCCAAAGTCTGTAAGCACCACGTGGCCCTGGAACACATACACGTTTTAAGCACCATCCCAATCTTACAGGAACTTACAGACTGCATATGATACTGTATTGCGAAATCTTGAACCATCTTCTCTAAGATGAGAAGGAAGTGAGTTGAGATATTGAAAACAATCCAATTACATTTACACCCCTTTATGAGTCAACACTTACCTGAGAGTCTAAGAGAATATTCTCTGGCTTCAGATCTCTACATAAGAACAAACAAACAAAGATATCTGATTTCACTGAACCTCAATACTGTACATAATAACGTGTTGTTTCTACGTGAATGTGTTTGTGCAAACTGTCTGACCTGTAAACGATGTTGAGGGAATGAAGGTAGCCGATGGCACTGGCAACCTCAGCAGCATAGAACCGAGCCCTCGGCTCCAAGAAGCACCGATCCCTCTGCAGGTGGAAGAAGATCTACAAGACAGAGAGAGATGGATTGAGAGGGAGAGAAAGAGGTTAGAGATGCAGGGAGAGAGAAAACAGTTCTGTCTTGTTGTTTTAACTGTCAGTCTCCTGGGCTCTGACAAAGCATGTCATATTACTAGCACTACATTATTAACTCCTCATAATACTGTGATACAGAGAGACTTTGGACTGAGCCGATGATTAAATGGGAGTACAGTGTGACTAAGCCCAGGGCTTGGGGCTATGACACACTGCTCTGCTGCTTCTGTGCTGGCAATAGCTTGGCAGCTTTAATACAAATAAAGGATGACTTATTAGGAACATTGCTACAGTCCATTCCTTTTAGCATTTTCATAACCAAACAGTCATTTGAAACCTTTCGGGAAACCCAGGGCCGTTAGCTTGGTACCTCTCCCCCATTGACATAGTCCAGGACAAAGTAGAGCTTCTCTGCGGTCTGGAAGGAGTAGTGGAGGCCCACCAGGAAAGGGTGCTTCAAGCTCTTCAGCAGCACGTTCCTCTCTGCCATGATGTTCTTTTGCTAGAGGACACAAAGCAGCATTGAACCAGCGGACACGAGGCAGAGGGTAGGACACAGCAGAATACAGGCCCCTGTCACCACCACTGCATCAACCCCAAGCGCGAGACAAGAGACAATATACAGAAAGAGTGGGGAGAGAGAGCGAGACACCTCTTTCCTACAAGGTCCTCAGTGTTATTTATGCTGCTTTATGTCACAAGTACAGCCGCCTACACTCATCTGACTAGGTCTGTCAGACAGCTATAACGTGTGTCTGTAGGTAGCTCAGAAAGTCCAAGATTAATTTGCTTATAACTATCAAGTGATACAAAACTAAGGGAATAAAACCGTTTTGATTATAGGGATGTACAGTTTGTAAGAAACACACAATAGAGACTTGGGGCTGTATAATCAGTCTGTCAGAGTACAAAGGACAGAACACACCAGATTAGATTAGGATGTTATCTTTCTTAGAAACACACAACAGATTTAGGCTAAACCAGTTCTGCTACACAGTGAAATTCATAACACGTTGAATATATACTGACATAAAGGGTTTTATTAGTGTAATTTAATGGACCTTTATCACAGAAAATAAAGAATTCTTATGTGAGTTTGTTGTGATAATGAATAACTAAACTAAACGTTTATAGACCAACCTCATTTTTCTTCAGGATGACTTTCTTCTGTAAAACTTTGACTGCATAGAATTTGTTGTCAGCTTTGAGCTTGGCGAGCAGGACCTGGATGTAGGGTGGTTGCCAATAAATCTCTGGTTGTTTACTCAACACTTCACCTACTAATATGACACTCTTATCATAAACATATCTTAAATCAATCTAGAAGGGGAATGAGTACACACAAATAACATATTTGATTAACAGCCACACAAAATATAGAAATAAAGTAGTCATAGACACAATGACAAAGGACTGCAAATGAACTGGAAGAATTAAAAATGGCTGCTTATCCTGAGTACAATTTGTCAAAAACTCTTTATCCTCATTCATTGTTTTGTTTTTGCCTTTTCATCAAGGTAACCTTAACAGTCCTGCATAGACTGAGTTAATCATTGATGAAGGCATGCAGCCTTTTATCAGGCAGACAGCAGTGTAGTCTGTCTTACCTTCCCAAAGGTCCCTTTTCCAATAACAGCCAAGAAGTCAAAGTCAGTGGGCTTGGCACTGAAACAAGACAGGAATGATGATACAGATATCTGTGTCATACAGATTGACATTACACTTATCATAACAGGTTATGGCAGAACAACCGTCTCGCAACATGACTCTGGTATGATGCATGAAATAACATTTTCGATCAAGGGCTCTATTCAATCTGTAAAGCTGAAGCATTACAGATTCCACGATAGAAATGTAAAGGTCATTTCAGATTGAGCCGACATATGCAGTGTTTATCGTGAATACAGTCTCCACTAAAGCAGGAACATTGCCTTTAAATTTCAATCACGCTATAAAGCTTCCTTTCCACGACGCGGATTGAAAAGAGCCCCAAGTCTCAAAAGCAAAGTACAGCAATGTATGTTAGTGGTTGCAATTGATGTATGGCATCATATCGAGGTGAAAATAGTTTTGTCAATGAATGCATCAGGATCACAATTCTATTGGTAAAGGGTTACCAGATGTCAGTTCTACGTGGCATTATGAATCATTGAAATCCATGACTCTTAATACTGTACATACTGTGGGTTTGCTGAGGGTCCCAGGTTGACCTCACTGAGGGTGGAGGACGGTGATCTAAGCTAGAAGACAAATAGAAAAAACGATACATGATAGAGCAAAGCAGTGTAAACAACCAGTACCAAAAATAGGATTAAATCCTTTATTGACTGTAGCATAGCATACTACAGTCGTGGTCAAACGTTTTGAGAATGACAAAAGTATTGGTCTTCACAAAGTTCGCTGCTTCAGTGTTATGAGATATTTTGGTCAGATGTTACTATGGTATACTGAAGTATAATTACAAGCATTCCATAAGTGTCAAAGGCTTTTAAGTTTATGCAAAGAGTCAATATTTGCAGTGTTGAGCCTTCTTTTTCAAGACCTCTGCAATCCGCCCTGGCATGCTGTCAATTAACCTCTGGGCCACATCCTGACTGATGGCAGCCAGTTCTTGCATAATCAATGCTTGGAGTTTGTCAGAATTTGTGGGTTTTTGTTTGTCCATCTGCCTCGAGGATCGACCACAAGTTCTCAATGGGATTAAGGTCTGGGGTGTTTCCTGGCCATGCACCCAAAATGTCGATGTTTTGTTCCCCGAGCCACTTAGTTATCACTTTTGCCTTATGGCAAGGTGCTCCATCATGCTGGAAAAGGCATTGTTCCTCACCAAACTGTTCTTGGATGGTTGGGAGAAGTTGCTCTCGGAGGATGTGTTGGTACCATTCTTTATTCATGGCTGTGTTCTTAGGCAAAATTGTGAGTGAGCCCACTCCCTTGGCTGAGAAGCAACCCCACACATGAATGGTCTCAGGATGCTTTACTGTTGGCATGACACAGGACTGATGGTAGCGCTCACCTTGTCTTCTCCGGACAAGGTGTTTTCCGGATGCCCCAAACAATCGGAAAGGGGATTCATCAGAGAAAATGACTTTACCCCAGTCCTCAGCAGTCCAATCCCTGTACCTTTTGCAGAATATCAGTCTGTCCCTGATGTTTTTCCTGGAGAGAAGTGGCTTCCTCGCTGCCCTTCTTGACACCAGGCCATCCTCCAAAAGTCTTTGCCTCAATGTGCGTGCAGATGCACTCACACCTGCCTGCTGCCATTCCTGAGCAAGCTCTGCACTGGTGGTGCCCCGATCCTGCAGCTGAATCAACTTTAGGAGACGGTCCTGGCGCTTGCTGGACTTTCTTGGGCGCCCTGAAGCCTTCTTCACAACAGTTGAACCTCTCTCCTTGAAGTTCTTGATGATCCGAAAATTTTTTGATTTAGGTGCAATCTTACTAGCAGCAATATCCTTGCCTGCGAAGCCCTTTTTGTGCAAAGCAATGATGACTGCACATGTTTCCTTGCAGGTAACCATGGTTAACAGAGGAAGAACAATGATTTCAAGCACCACCCTCCTTTTAAAGCTTCCAGTCTGTTATTCTAACTCAATCAGCATGACAGAGTGATCTCCAGCCTTGTCCTCGTCAACACTCTCACCTGTGTTAACGAGAGAATCACTGACATGATGTCAGCTGGTCCTTTTGTGGCTGGGCTGAAATGCAGTGGAAATGTTTTTTGGGGATTAAATTCATTTTCATGGCAAAGAGGGACTTTGCAATTAATTGCAATTCATCGTATCACTCTTCATAACATTCTAGAGTATATGCAAATTGACATCATCAAAACTGAGGCAGCAGACTTTGTGAAAATTAGTATTTGTGTCATTCTCAACTTTTGACCACGACTGTACAGACAGAAACACTCACTGGATTACAATTCGCCATGGCCTTGGTCCATTCCTTTCCCACCGGGGAGCCTACATCAGTGCTTCACAGACCTGTCATTACAAAGAGGACACAATAGGAACATAATGATTTGATAGCACCCCGTCAGTGTGTGACTCTACTGCTGGTCCCCCTATGCCAGCCTGACCCTGAGAAACTGGTAGTTCTGGTTTGAAACCCAACGCACACACAACAAAGGACATTTGGTGTTTTGGAGAGTTCATATCAGTGGACACCTTTACATGGCAAATATTATTTTGCCATTCCCATGTCCACAAATGTGTGCAGGATGGCTTAGGTCATTATTCAAACCAACTCTAATCTCCCCCACACACAGTCACTTGCCAAGAATGTATGAATGTTTTGAAATGTTCCTTCCTCGGTCTTAAGAAATGTTTAACCTTTAGCCCTACTGAATAAATACAGTGGATCAGCCATATGTCCTGAAGAGTAGATAGTAATTTGCTACAGTAGAGGTGTGGAAAGTTAGAAACCCATTTGAAGGCTGATATCTATGTCTACAGTCAAGTGTATTACCCTCTAATTAGGGCTTTGGAATTATTATAGGCCTTATATTCTCAGATTATACCATTGTGTAAATACATGCACATATTGCAAATGGGGTGCTTACAAACTATAAAAAATGCAGCATAAAACATGCATAAATACAGTGCATTTGGAAAGACCCCTTGACCTTTTCCACATTTTGTTACGTTACAGCCTTATTCTAAAATTGATTAAATTGTTTTTTCCCTCATCAATCTACACACAATACCCCATAATGAAAAAGCAAAAACAGGTTTTTAGAAATGTTTGAAAATGTATTTTTTTAAAAACCCCGTTAATATCATATTTACATAAGTATTCAGACCCTTTACTCAGTACTTTGTTGAAGCACCTTTGGCAGTGATTACAGCCTCGAGTCTTATTGGGTATGACGCTACAAGCTTGGCACACCTGTATTTGAGGAGTTCCTTCCATTCTTCTCTGCAGATCCTCTCAAGCTCTGTCAGGTTGGATGGGGAGTGTCGCTGCACAGCTGTTTTCAGGTCTCTCCAGAGATGTTCGATCGGGTTCAAGTCCGGGCTCTGCCTCGGCCACTCAAGGACATTTAAAGACTTGTCCCGAAGCCACTCCTGCATTGTCTTGGCTGTGTGCTTAGGGTCATTGTCCTGTTGGAAGGATCTCTCTGTACTTTGCTCCGTTCATCTTTCCCTTGATCCTGACTACGTCTCCCAGTCCTTGCCACTGAAAAACATCACCACAGCATGATGCTGCCAACCACCATGCTTCACCGTAGGAATGTTGCCAGGTTTCCACAAGACGTGACGCTTGGTATTCAGGCCAAAGAGTTCAATCTTGGTTTCATCAGACCAGAGAATCCTTTAGGTGCCTTTTGGCAAACTCCAAGCGGGCTGTCATGTGCCTTTTACTGAGGAGTGACTTCCGTCTGACCACTCTACTGTAAAGGCCTGATTGGTGGAGTGCTACAGAAATGGTTGTCCTTCTGGAATGTTCTCCCATCTCCACAGAGGAACTGTGGAACTCTGTCAGAGTGACCATCGGTTTCTTGGTCACCTCCCTGACCAAGGCCCTTCTTCCACGATTACTCAGTTTGGTGGGGTGGTCTGCTCTAGGAAGAGTCTTGGTGGTTCCAAACTTCTTCCGTTTAAGAATGATGGAGGCCACAGTGTTCTTGGTGACCTTCAATGCTGCCAACATTTTCTGGTACCCTTTCCTCGACACAATCCTGTCACAGACAATTCCTTCGACCTCATGGCTTGGTTTTTGCTCTGACATGCGCTGTCAACTTGGACCTTATATAGACAGGTGTGTGCCTTTCCAAATCATGTCCAATCAATTGAATTTACCACAGGTGGACTCCAATCAAATTGTAGAAACATCAAAGAGGTTCAATGGAAACAGGATGCACCTGAGCTCAATTTCGAGTCTCATAGCAAAGGGTCTGAATACTTATGTAAAGTATTCAGCCCACTCATTAGGCAGGATTAGGCGGCCACCTATGGCGGAAGGTTGACGAGGGCGGCATTTTCTGAGTTAAACTCACCAAGACGCACCTCCAACAACAACACATAAAACCTCACTTAATTCTGCCCAAAAACAATGACAATTTCTCTCAACCAGTCGCAAATGGCTTTTTTAGGAGAGCGCTGATGCCACCCTTTGATAAATAGTGCACACTTTGACAAAGGCGCAAAATATGTTGCTTGTCCATTCCCAGCGCGCCTCTCCAGGGTGCTGTTGGAGAGACGCATCTCTGCAGCACTCCACCAACGTTCTGTCAAAAAAAGTATCTAACATAAATCATGGAGAAGATATAGGATATGGTAGAAAGAGTATGTGGTCTTTTCTGTAGCCTACAGGCTGGAGATAAAATGTATGATCATGTAATGACACTCTTTACATCATGCAGGTTTCTACGATCAAATGGTCTAACCTAAATGGTGCCTCAATCAAAAAAAGAAAGTGCTGTCATGTCAACAAACAACATTTCCTAAAAACAGGACAGGTCAAAGTAAAATGGAAAATATGGAATGGATAATTACAACTGTTGTCCAGGAGTTTCACCCCATTGTCATGATCAGTGGTTTCAAGTTTGTATCCATACATTTTTGACAAGCTGATCATAGCAAAAAAGAAAATACTTCTGCATTTCCCTCACTGTGTAAACACATTGCAAATAGGCTCACGATAACTCCTGATAAAGTTGGGTAGCTGATATTCAGAGCTTAAATAGCCTAATTGATTAGTCACAAGAATCAGGACTAATAAAGCCAATGCAATGGCCTGTTTTACAAACGGTGGGCCTACCACATGGATGGGCATTCATAAAATTCCATTGTGGGCGGACATGGTAGGCTACACCCCAGTAAGCACGACCCGACGTCTTTTGGACGCCTTTTTTTGGTCCTGTCCGGACGTCGTTTTTTGGTGTTTTACAAATGATAGGCTTACCACATAGATGGGCATTCATAAAATTTAATTTCAGACAACACTGTAGGCTACACCTCAGTAAGCACGGACCGACTTTGACGCCTTTTGGACTTATTTTTTTGGAGCAGTTCCGAACCGGCCTTGATTTCCACATCCACAGACATTGATTTTTGGTCCGGTTCGGACCAAATCTGAACTAATCATAGACTTCTATGTTTGGTTCAGATTTTGTCCGGTCTGGAACAGCCTTGATTTGGACCAAACATAGACGTCTATAAATTACTTACAGTGAGGGAAAAAAGTATTTGATCCCCTGCTGATTTTGTACGTTTTCCCACTGACAAAGAAATGATCAATCTATAATTTTAAT